TATCTAAAACATGAATAAAAACCTCTCATTATCCTGCCTGTCTGAATACCTGAGGTTGACAGGGAGCCTGCAGCTCAGATTCCAGCTGCTGAGCTGGATGTCTCCACACTGCTGATTTCCTGGATGGACCTGGAGCTGGTGCAGTGTGATCTTTGGTAGAGGAACATGTGTCATCAAGGGTTTTCTTTGATTTTGCAAAGGCGAAAATGGCTGTATTCTTAGAGTCCACTCTACTAATCTCTCCTGYACCAATGGAAACAAACAGAGCACAGATTTCTTTGCTAAAAGAAATGAAGTAATAACATTGGAAAGATACTCCATCTCCTACCACTAGGTACTGGGATACTTCAGTTTATTCTTGTATCCAAGGGGGTTGCAATTTTCAGGAGCCATTGCTAAAACCACTGAGGAATGATACTGGGTGGCCATAAGCATAGCAACAATATGACAGGTTGCTATTATGGAGACTGAGATTAGGCKACAGGAAAACAAGTCACAATTCTGAAGTTTAGGCTGTGCCAGCCAACAGTATGCCCAGCACAATGATTTAAGAATATTAACGCTTTTATATCACATTGTTCCAGATATAATGAAAAGGAGTGGTTGAAAAATAATTGTAAGAGCTTTAAAATCTGTAGGCATTGCTATTAGACCCTCTGCTCAGCTGGCTCACCCTCCCATCCATACCACAGCCAAAACTTCAGGTTCACGTGCTTAAAAATGTACAACATTCATCTAGGAACTGACCGGGATTTTCAGAATGAACAGAAGCCAAATCCTCCCAGGGATTTAGAAATCCAACTCCSATTCAAATAGGAGACACGGGAAGCCTATGCATGTCTTGATATACTTGGTACGATCTAGAGTTTGACCAAGTACTCATTAGTCAGCTGCCTTCTTGGGAAATAAGAGAGACTGAAAGTGAAGTTGTACAGGCAACTGATGGGCGTTATCAACCCTCTGCACTCACCTGCAACTGACTTCTTGTGCTGCTCGTGAAATTCATGGAGAGGAGCTGGTTTAGACACAACAGGAGATGACTGCAGGGTTATCTTTGCTGCTGGAGGGATCAGCCTCCTTTCAGTCAGGCTCAGAATACCTAGAAGGTGATGTTACTGAACAAATCATTTACACTCCAGTTAGGAACTAAAAAAATTAACTGCAAGAAAAAAATTAATGTCAGACTCAAATTCTTCCAATTCCAATCAAAACTAATAAAAAAGCAGTGATTTTCTTTCAATGATGAAATTCAAGGGAGGTAAATTTTGCCTATAAATGTTGACACATACATAAAATATATTGTAATAATGCTGTTCGGAAGGARCAGGGACTTGCAGAATAGCAGTTTAATATACAGAAGGTATTAGAACGAACTYGTGTAAACCACAACCTAGTAATGATTATGGAGTGATTGTTAAAATAGTCCAAGTATAGAACTTACTGAGATCGAATGAGCAATAACCACATATTAATTATGTCTGTTTAATCTGATCATTTTATTTAGTCAAGAATTCTCTCACACATAATTACTCTTCACAGGAGAAGCTGAACTCTGCACAATGCAAGATAACTGGTTCAGGGAGGAGGGCGCTCGATGCACAACGTTGTCCTGAWGATCTCTGCTGTATGTGGTAGGTAAGTCACCTGAAGCTGGCCTCTACCCTTGGCAGCCTTGGAGATCCTAATTGTTACAGGTTTGGAGGTGCCACAAAATCTAATTACCAGACACATCCTTCAAACAGCAAGCCAAAACGCATTTGTGAAATACATCTGGTGTCTGATAACACACTCACCTTTCTTTATATCATCTTCAAGCAAGGGTAAAGGAGAATCCATGTGGTGAAAGGCAGGCAAAACCCAAAGGTTGCTAACTGTGCAACCCTTCACTATCTTCTGATTACACATCTGGAAGGAACAGAATTGTCCTTTAACAAACAACAGAAATTCTGAATTTGCAGAAGACAAAGTTTTCTRCTTAYRTAATAYTAAATAATAAATACAATTTCTGCTATGAATAGTTTCATTAARGTTTAATAATGTAGCAGTACAAGCRCTAATTTTACTACTTAYGAACATGTTGCAATATTGTCTRCTGTCATTAGTAATTTAAAATAAAGTTAATTAAATCCAATCAATGTMTTGTGATGTCTGCTATTCACAAAGACTGCAGGAAGTTTGCTCAGTTTTCATGAGTACAGTGTAAACATRGAATTTCTTGACAGAGCAGCCCTTGAAATGTGTGCACAGACACCAGGAAGCAAGAATGCACTTTCAAACATGTAAATARATCTTTACTAAGAACAATATTAATAAAATTGAGATATACACAACTGCTCACAGTAACTATCATAGACTTCTGAAGTTTAAATGCTCTTTAATTACAATAGTGACATAGCCTGTTAATGTGATGGGGAAAGAAGTGCCACACTAGCTGTGCTAATGTAGGGATTAAACTTCCTTCCCCTCTCAAACAATCCTCATGTTTTTACAGGCCAGGAACTGAGACAGTGACAAATGTGACTTTGGATAGTGACAACACATTCTTAATATGAATATCATCCCATATGGAGAGAATATACAAGAACAGATCACAATTTCATAAATAGCCATGAAACTCAATAGGAAAGTATGGCATAGTTTTGTGGATGACCACAGATGGAATAGGCTACCACCTATTCCATTAGGCTAACAAGAGAAAATCCTACGTTGGATAGAAAGCTTTGAGCCTAATCCCATGTGCTGACCAGCTCCTTGATTTGCCTTGTTAAAAGATAGKTCCTTATGAATGACAAATTAGCTTAAAATAATACTAAGTACATAAAATCTGAAAGCTAAAGAATATTGGTAGATCTACAAAAYACGAATAATAATACTTGCCTCCTTTATAAAGCAAATCAGGACTTTCTGGTTTAAAATATTAAGTTTTAAATCATTATTATACTTGGGTACAGCTTTTAGTAGAATGGATCCAGGCCACRATTTGAATCTTTGGGCACTGCTGTTTTGTAATTAGCAAGTAACATCAACTTCATAAAAAGAAAAAGGCAATTCTAAAGAACTGTTTGTAATTCTAATAGGAAAATGGAATAGATCAACATAAACTATGATACTTTTTCCTCCAAATTTCTGTAATAACACTGTCCACAAAAAAGACATTAGGGATATAGAAAATATGCAGGCTTCATCAGAACAGAGTCTTTCAAAGAAATCACAGGTGCTTGTTTTAGTTATGGCCATTAGGGGCATTATGCTTTAAGGGATCTAGACATATGAATCTCCATGCCCTTGYGTTGCAAGAAAATGGCAATAAGCACATAACAAAGATTAACTTTATACCAGCCAGCACATATGAGGAAAGAGAACAATAAACCAGTTTCCTACTCATTCTCAGGTCCAGCAGTTTACTGAGGACACAGCAAAAATATAAAAAGAATAAAATTTAATTAAATAGYGACTCCATTTACAGGCTATTGCTGTTGTATCAGTAAAGCAGCACGGATTTTACTACTGGCCAGTTTTACCCYGTTTTATATCCCAGGAGTTTGGGGATGAAAATCAGCAATACAAAATGGGTGTTACACTTGTGTTCATGCAAACACCATAGGTCGCAAAGGAAAGCAACTCAGGTCCAGCGGACAAGTTCAGAAGCAGCCTACAGGTTCTTTATTTTTACCAAAGATACTGAACTCCTCTTTGCTGTATCCTTCAATTGCTATAAACTACACAGCAGGTATTAGCCAAAAAAATTAAAAATAAAATAAAAAAATCAGATGAAGAGGGTTGAAATCTAAGCATTTACCCTGCAAAAAGCCACTATGTTTAAGTAAATTGCATAATGTGGGCAGCATAAGGGGACTGATTCCAAATTATYACCTATAAGAATTCCCTCTGACCTGTACATCCCTCTTGCGCATTCTTTCAGCATCCTGTTTTACCTTATCAGCTGTTTAATGACTTGACGACTTCAATGAAAAATGAAAGCAAAATAAAAATTGCATATTCCAGAATTGACGGCTCCTAACTAATATTTTAATGTTTGTAGTGTAGAGAAAAAAAAAATAAAGGAAAAAAACCACGACCACATCTGTAGGTACCTCACCACCACCCGCTTGCAAAACCCACACTCTAAGAGCTGCAATGCTGTGTTTACTGCTAAAGGGCAACTGGAATTTCAGGCACTTTCTCTCCTGAATCATGTTTTTAGGGAAGTTTGTTACCAACATTATGATTTGCCAAGCATATTTTTATTATGTCAGCATACAGTGTGCTTGACCATCACACTTGTACTTTTAAAGTATAAGATTCAGATGGCTGAAAAAGGAAAAAAAAAGAAAGGAAGTTTTATCATGGGTGATTCTATTAGTGTTGATAAACTGCAAAACAATAGACAGACAAGGCATATCAAAAAACCACAGAGCTTGATAGCAAGGGCAGAAGATATATAACCTAGTAATCCGACATTTCACAATAACCTCCAATTGGTATTCGCAAAATATTGACTTTTTCTGTCTTACCAAGATTTGTCATACAGAGCTGACAATCCCTAGAAAAGGAAGGAGAAACACAATGGAAGGACAAGAATGATTTTCCAGAGGTTTCAAGGAAGCTTGTTAAGCAGGAGAGCGCAGGATGTGGCCTGTTAAGACCATTCATTATTTTGTCCATCATTAAAGTGGAGGCAGGTGTTGGCAAGTACCTGAATGGCACCAGGATGGAAATTCTGGCTATTGAGGGAAAGGACAGACAGAAATCATACCAGCTATGGGCTATTAAGCCAAACCAGTCAAATCAAACCAACTCACGTACCAAAACACACCCCTCGGAGCTTCAACCATCCTATGACACTTGGTTGGTCCAGCAACTTCTACTGTGAGAAAGAAACATATTTTGCAGTCAAGCTAAATAACCTTTGACTATTTGATGATTTCATAGCACCTGATTTTGGTACTCTAAGAACCTGCATGTGGAATCAGTGCAGAAGTGCCTAGTGCCAAGTAAGCAGCAAACTCCTCCCTGTGTCAGTAGAGCTATTCTCAAATTAGGTGAGTCAAATGTGCAACTGTCTCTAAGAAATTCAAATAACTTGTAAAAATGGCTGCCTTACAGTTCTAATTAAAGCAGATTTTGAGTAGGAAAACTATATAGAAAATTCAAGCTTGTCCTCCTTATTTCAATTTGCACATTCCATCATTTTGTCTACCTAAACATTAACATTCCATTAGATGCAACAGAAGTATAAATACATACTATTTTYCTCTTTTTTAAACTGAAAGAAATAAATTTAGATTTAAATGAAAAGTCCAACACACAACCCTAAATATGGAGCAACTAAGCATCTACCTATGAATTATTTTGATGCACTTTAYAGCAATCAAACTAACCAGAGACGACTCTGAAATAATTAACTTTGCATATATTTGAAAAAATAAAGCTTTACTCCTTTAAGCTGCCATGGAAGTTAGCTACGATGGCTTGCTGCTAGCATTCCCAGAAATTTACCTCTATCAAAMCCCTGCCATGGCAGGTGCAAAAGAGAATAGCTGCAGAACTTYGGTGAGCGCCACATCTGTTTTTTGAAAGAGGGAACAGAAGCAGCACAGAAGGAAGTAAGGAAGATAATTGCTGGCTTGAACTGCAACGCATTTTACTTGTGGGCAAAGGGCCAGCTTAGACGAGGCAGCAAAGGCAGCCCATCTTATTGGGATGCAGGGATGGGCCCGCGCTCCCGTCCGGGACAGCTGTAACGCAGCAGCCCATGGCAGCGCAATCAGGCGCTGCTACGGATTCGGCTGCACCCCTACCTAGCAACGTGACAGTCCTKCTCCAATTCCAGATGACAAGAACTGGAGAAAAACTTAAAACAAATGGTGACCTTTTCAAAAGATTAATTTGTTTACCAACAAAACGTTCTACGTCTGTCATCTGAGATGGGGGTGACCTTCACATTCCCATTTCTAGGTTGAGAGGATGCTGACTATAGTCATCTGTTAAGTTAACTCCATCTCACCAATTATTACTCTCTTTATTTTTAGTGACAAGTTTTATTAATTCACTGTGCTGCTTATTATGGTTACACAGCATAATAGGAATGCAACAAGCTTGCTTTGAATTACTGCAGCGTAGCATCAATTTGTTTAAGTCTCTTTCTGTTACCAATGCCAAATTATGCTTTGACTGTAATTATAGMCATATGCATGGGCTTAAAACACAATCAGGTTCTCAGGATCAAAAAAACCCAAGTCTTTTACATCTACAACTTCTAGGCATTTGAAATGCGATTACTTTATAGTTTTGGAAATGAATAAATTTTCAGTGATAAACATTAGTGATTAATGTGATGAAAATGMTGAGTAAAGAATGAGTAGCTAAGGATATGATTAGAATGGTGGCACTGGAATAAGTCTTGAAAAGACAAAAAACTAACAGCCCCCACACACAAACCAGAAACAAAATCGCTGCCATCAGTACAGCCATTCTATAAGATGCAGCTCATAAGGGCAAGAAATCATCACCATATTAAATTCTACCTCATGAATAAATTAAAAGGTTCCTAAGTTTACATTATAATATATATTTATATGAAAACAGGGACCAAAAAGTGCCAGTATAATTCTATAGAAGARCAGCAGTCCTATGAAAATGAAAGGCAGAGCTGTGAATCTTTTCTCTGTTGCAGCAGTTAGTCAGAATTATTTTTGCTGCAATTCAGATTACTGTTTGTTTTGCTTGATACTCCATGGGAAGTGCACATATTTAATAGCTATATACTTATTTTTCATTTGTTATCCAGATACAGTTTACAAAAAAAAATAAGCAAAGCTCAGTCRGCTCATGTTGCTTCCAATGGAAGCACATCCCTAATTTTAAGATAACTACAGATGTTACAGAGGATGAAGTATTAGTGCTGACCAGAAAAACAAAAACAGAGAAGTTCAAAAGGGCAGTAGCTACTGCATAATTAATTGCTCCTAGTTTCTGTTAGGAAATCCAGTACGAGCAGCCTTYTGACACTGAAAACAAGAAATACAGCAATTGTTCACAAACAAGTGAAGTCCTTATTAAGGTTTAAAATATGTTTGAAACGACTCAAATGGCACATTGGCAGAAAATCTATATGGATGTCCTCCATTTTAGTTACCTAAAAAAGCACTCTGTTTTTAATTGTCATGTTWTATATGTTCTTTGAGAGCTCAGGTGCTGACACTATTGGAAAGAAACTAGATGCTCTTAATCAAATGATTAGTTTGTCATTTATTTCAAGGAGAGTTCTTGTGCCACTGAGTTTTGGCAAATCAGCCACAGAATTTTTCTGTAGGATACATACATGGGTATATATGTGTGCACACATGTGCATATATGCATGTGTAGAAATATTGCCCTCTAATGGTCGATTAGAAAAAGCAGGGTAAATAATAGACACCTTTACATAACGTAATTGCTATTTTCTTTCAGCATAAAACCCATACACTTCTAGACCTGTAACTACCTTCTTTTTTTAGCTGTTAATGTTGATCTATATCCATCATGCCAGCAATTGCTGGGATAGGTCACCTTCACCAAAAATACCTTCATTCACCATCTCAGTGGATTTTACAAATCTGCTTCCAAACTTTTAAATGAAATGAATTTAGAACATTTCAAATGAAATTGTTTTGTCAGATTCAAAAGCTCCTGAAAAGCTTCTACTTCAATAGGGCTGGAGTAGAACAATAAATTAAAGATGTAAAATACCTACTTGGTTATTCTGGCCATCTCCTTATCATAAACAGTTTCTTAGCAACTGTAAATATGTATCAGAGAGCTTGACTAATTTACACTAAACGTTTGTAATTTAAGTCAACATTAAGAAGTTCTCTGATAAGGATATGTTTGAGAGAGTGGTAAAACACATGGCTCTCCACAGTGGTATAATATTCCTCTCTGCGAGTGTTTTAGAGTGGTTCAAAAAGCTATTAGCCATGATGTTTTTTTCTAATTAACTCTATATCACAGGGTTAGACAAATCACCTCTTAGTCTGGGCAACAGCTTTCAAAAAATCATTTTTTATAAGTGGCAGCTCACAACTGTGCCATTCACAGATCCTGCTTACGTTGTTTAAAGCCAAACACCCTAGAATGCCTCTTATGGCCCTGGGCTTGCTGCATAATGCTTCTATTACATAAATTAAASTGTACAAGAGTGCCATATACCCAGACCACTGGGTAAATTCTTTCATGTGCACCACAATGCTGTGCTAAAATTGTGATTACAACTATCTTTGCAGGGATGTCTGTRACTGCTAATTTTTTAAGCATACATTGCAGCAAATGTCATCTTCACATTAATTTGCTTAAGAGAAAAAGCAGATGCACAGCAGAAATTGGGAAAACGCAGAACTTAACCTTACACAATTGAATATTCTCAGGAATTGGGAAACTGAATGATCCAAAACTCATTGTTTCTCAGGACCAAAGTGAGTTTCAAAGCAATTTTACTTCTTCCTTGATTTTTGGATTGCATTTTAATTCCACAAACTCCAGTTTACTTACCTTCACTCACTGATTTTACTGACATTACTTACTAGGCACATTCCCCTGTTTACTTGGGGGATTAGAATCTCATTACTTAAACTTGTTGTGCTACAGGTTGGTCTTCCCCAGTATTGCCACTTCAGACATTTTAATTGTTAGATATGAAGTTACATAGGAAATTAGAAGGTACTTTCATCTATCATAGAATTTTTATTTAGGTCAGATATAATATTAAGGCTATGCATATAGTTAATATAGACTAAAAAAAATCGGACAATAAGCTACTTACTGGAGCAGGTTTTTTCTTAGTTATAAGTGGCAGCCTGTTCCCACTGTCCTGCTTGGGAGCAGCTTTAGCACCGATGTTCTCTGGGTCAAGCATAATTTTCACATTCATTTCCAGATGCTGCTAAAATATGTATTATACATGTTCTTAAAATAACTGCATGAGAAAGAGGTGTTTATAAACAAGAATTCATCACCAAAATGTTGCTAATGAATTTGAAAAACTATAACAATCATATTTTATCATCCAGACAGAACTAGATAAACAATGAAAAAGCATCTTCTGATTACATGCTTACCAAGGTATAAAACTATTATTCACAGGTATTATTCTACCAAAGTTTCTTTGATCAACTTTATTGCAAATTCTCAACTGTTAAATTTTCACATCTGTCTCAAATTTTGTTCAGAAAGAACAAACAGGTTTGACTTGTTATGCYAATATGTCATTCCATTTATCCGGTTCCATTTATATCAGTTCCACTTATCCAGTTCTGGTGCTATAATAAATGTTTTATGGCACTTATTTATACAGAAACATGCACAAGCTGTAACATCTTAAGAGAACACCAAGGCATTATTACAAATATTACTACTTGTCCAGTTGGAAAGAGTTAATTTATAAATACAGCTTTTAAAATATACTTTCACTATGGACTTTTTTCTGAACGGTGTCTCAGGTAAACCTCTGACTGGCTTTGCCAAATTTGTAATGGAGTTTACAACTGTGCTTTATAAAACTGTTTTATGAACTACTCAAAGACATGCAAAGTATACAAGAGCCAAACCATTAGCAAAGAAATAGACATGCCACACAAGAATCTGTACTAAATGCAAAGCACACTGATGTTAAATGATTAAATGAAGAGAAAGAAAACATAAGGAGAATGATTAAATTAAGTGAATTGTGAGTTTCAGCCTGTAATCTTGTCTCAGTCAATGGCAATCTTCCTTTTCATATCAATCGATGCCAAGACAACTACAGTGTAGCCTGTAACATTCGCACGTTCCATGGAGAAGGCAGACCATGGCTGAAAGCAAATCTCAAAACAAGGTTCTGTATTGAGAAAATAGAGCTTTTATTGGTGTTTTATTTCAAAACGTTTTGCTGAACAGAGCGCCTGCCTCATATACATAAAATCCGGCAAACACATACTCAGACCTTTAGGGGGGAGTTAAATAAATTCTGCCCCCAAATGACAGTAAGAGTTCTATCTATCCWGGCTATATCCATCAGAGACTTTAATTCAGGAATCATTGACCTGATGGTGCAGAACACCTTTCCTGGTCAGTTGACTCAAGACAGGTAGAGCACTTGCTTACAGTAAATGAAAAAAATAATAATCCTTACAGTTACAAGAATTAAAATATAATAGTTTTTTAGTGTACTGTGTTTTCTGCATGAAGGGAAACAACTTGAATAATATAAACATTGCTGGACAGAAAACAAAGACCGTATTTCTTCCCATTAAAAAGTGTCTAAAGCACCTTTTTTTTTTTTTTTCCTCTAAAGGCAAGAGTGGTACCATATCCTTTTACTCTGAGAAAAAGATCTTAAGTCAAAACATTTCAGTACGTAATGCATGTGCTCTAGCTTTCACTTGGATCTGTATCAAGCATAGTAATCTCTCTCATTATTTTCTCTGCAATAATGCTACTAACTAGTCTGCACCCAACMGGGTTTATTTACCAACCAATGCTGAACAGGGAAGAATCCTCAGATGGCAGGAACTAATGCAGCTCTAATGAGGTCAACAGAGCTAAGTTAATTTAGAGGAGCTGGGGACCTGACACCGTATGTGCTGAATTCCCATTATATGGACATAGAAATATAAAAAGTTCCCCTAGTATGCAAGATCAAACTGAACATATCTATAGATGGCAACTCTCTACAGATGCTTCTATTATGTATATTACTACAATGTTAGTTTTCACAAACAATACACCATATAAAAATGCAAGAACCATTAGAGGTACGTTTGAACTATTAAACAATTGTATTACTTTGAAAGAACTAAAAAAAAGCTTGAATTTATCTGCACAATCTATTTTCTTCTTTTGATATAATTACAAGCAGATGTATCAATGAGATGTTCATTTAGATTCAGTTTGTAAGAACAAAAGTTATTATCCAAGCCAATTACTCTTTTACCCACATGGCTGCACAGAGATAGAAAGTTCAATTTTCACCTCATCAGTGATTTTGTGGTATTTATTTTATTACTATAATACACCACTGTACAGAAAGGAAACTGCTTGTGCTATTAAACAAGAATTGGAGGGAAATTGAGGGCTTTCTCAATTAAAATAGATGATTCACAATACAGACTCCCCAGTCAGACTGACAGTGAAATGAACAGTGCTGCAGTGGCAAATTCCACTCAGGATAACAAGAATTGAAATGCTTAATAAAATAAAAGCTGATAAAAGTTACTCTGTCAGCTTAAATGCAAGGCAAATGACAATTCTATATGTGCAGGAGTTGCAGCAGATGGTATCTCGAGTCTCTTCCATCTATCTTTTCCAGGTCTTACATTGAAACTAGCTTTAACTGCCTTGATGTAGAACAAGAAAGGGAAGAGAAAAGCAGGGCAAATAGCTCATTATTCCTAACCTAGTGCCCTATGAGAAAGAGAATTAGCATGCTCAATTACTAGCATGGGGTATAATCCACAGAACAAGTTGACACGTTCATTACAGTTAACAGGAGTTCAAACCCTGCTCTRCTTCAACACAAAAGTCAGTTCAGGGTGGAGGGCATTCCACCGTGCAGAAAGCCAACAAGTCTTCTCCACAAGGTAATTCCATGTTGTGGATGTGCAATTGGTTCATGAATGGACTGCATTAATCTTTGAAGCAATCTACTCTCCACAACTAAACTATTTATCATATTYGCATATTCTAGAGCCCTCTAGAAACATTTGGTTTTTATTTATATCTTTTATTCTATTAATGAAAGGAGAATATAGCCTAATACGCTTGTACAGACAATTTTAAGCCTATTCTGACACATCTGTAGGCAAGCTATAGGCATATAACAGCATTCTAGAAATGTGAATGKGTAAAATCTGTGCTTACCTGACTTCAGGATTGCTATATGTTAACTATACTATACTACAAGCAATTTGTGCTCCTTTTTCACTTTCACATGGCCTATTAGGGACTGCAAGTCACAGAAAGAGTGTACAAAATAATTGTTTCAGAACTTATAAAACTTTAGAAGTTGATTCCTCTAAACTTATGTATTTGGAAATATTCTCTTCAAATGGAGAGCTATTCAGTCCATAGACATTTCTTTAAAGTAGAAAGGAATTTTGAAAAACATATCTATGTATGCTCAAATAAAACAAAACAAAAAAGTGTTTATAGTTGCAAGTGAGGAAAAGATGAGAACTGAGGAATTGTAGGTGATAGTTTCCCARCTGGATTTCACAACTATTTAATAATAAGAGCTTTCTGTGTTGGCAGGCCGGTCTTGTAGAACAGCTGGTAAGACAGTGCTGTTTGTCTATTTACTTTATAATGGGAAATTGGGGGTAGATTGTGTGTCACTGAATGTGCATTTCTAAGCAGATGCCATAGCTAGACACAAAAAAAATAGAGCAAGAAGTCAAGGCATGGCATAGTATATGCCCTCCTCTAAATTAAGCTCATTAATGCACAGAGAGTTGAAAGAGCATGGAAACTATAGACATCATGGAGTAGATTAACTCTGATGGTTATTTTGCACAACAGATATGTATTCATATAGGATAGGATTGGAATACTGTGTGGAAAACTTAAAACTCTTGCTTTCAAAACACTCAGCATCATTCTTTTCTACTCAAAACTTAAGGATGCCAAGTGTACTTCATTCATATCCCAAAGCTCTTACTCTTTGAAAATAATAATTCAAAATGTTTCCTAAACAATAAACATTTTATACCTACAAGACCTCAGTTCAGGCATTTAATATAGTCTTTCTCAAAGTAAGTACTAYGTTACTTCATACCTGTGAACCTTGAGAGAGATGTAGTGCTGGTCTGTTGCATTCCTGGATGGTCAGGGGGTCCATAGGTATTCGTGGCAAAATAACTTGTTTCGGAGAAGCGCCAAAAGGAAACTCCCTGATTTAGAAAAAAAGCAGTAGTGAAGTTAAAAAGTTACTTTGATTTTACGCATTAAACGCACACTATGTCCATCTGGCTGAATTTAACAACTATATTTTTACTTAGTGTATAGCAAAAATTGCAAGAATTAACAGAGAAGTTGCTACTSTAGCTACTCAGGACTGTATTTCCTTTTGTATTACTTTTTAACTTAAAATCAAAACAGCAAACGACTAAAACTCATTTGGGCAGGTGTTCTCACTCACTTCATGATTTTGATGTGTTTGATAAGTTTTCATCTTACATTAACAGCTACAGTAAAACAGATGTTTCACTTACCATTTAGGATGCAGCTTTGAACGCTCTCTTGTATCAGTAGAAGGTATAGTTAACACTTGGTTGTTTATAGCATTTAAATAATTTTCAGCATGTTTCTGTTAGAGAAATAAAGTTCAGAGCATTAAAAGAGTGCTGGGTTTAAGTTTTTATTCACTTAGCTTATCAGTCTAGAGCTTTTACTGGAGTGAAAAGTTGATGGACCCTATGTTATTATCAAGACTAAAGTTTCATTTACGGTATGAGGCACAAGATTAATTCTGGCTCGCAAAAAAAGGAAGCCCTTGCTCTAAACCACTATGTTTGATGAATTCCATCATTTGCTAATTAGAAAGGGAAGTTGCAGACAGCAAATACATGGCCCTGTGCACTCAGCGACTTACTGACAAATCTTGGACTAAAGCATCTTCCTGATCCATTTCATTTTACTTACTCTCAGTCCAAATTCAGTTCTTTCAATTGCTGCTTCCAAGTTGGTCATATCCTCAGCTTCTATTTTTCCTTTCAAGTTGATTTTTCTCACATTATTTTTAAGCTTATGAAGGTCTTTTTGGACCTAAAAAGCAAGTTATTACAACAGTCACATCTATAATCAACAAAAACAACAAAAAAAATGCATGGGTTTCTACAGCAAGGCTTAATTCAAATCAAACACTTTATAAATATAGAAAACACATAACATTTCCCGTGGTTCTTTTACAAATAAGAAATGCGTGAACTCAAACATTAATCGAAAACAAACCCAGCAAAGCAACGCATCGAACTTTAGGATCGGGGTCATTTTGCAAGGAATCTTCCTGTGCACTGTGGCAGCCAAGMAAGCTCAAGGTCCCATTAGATTAAGAACTATTAAATTTAAAAAATTCTAATCTTTAKGTAAAATTCATAATCAGAAGACACAAGACATAAAATAATATTAATGGCAGTCAAAGAAGCTTCTCCAAACCTCCAGTTTCCTGSGATTTGTGCTCTTCCCAGAACACTTTTAGAAACACTGTTGACATCAAGTGTTTTTTGTGCTGAGAGGGAATAAAATCTATTAGATCCTTGAAAGAGGGATGAATACAAACATCTTAAAAAYCTTAAATCAGATCTTGGGTTCATTTTCCGCTTTTTTTAGAAAAGTAGCAGCAGTCTGGAAATAATTTCCTTTCTTTACACATCACAGACCCTCTCAAGTTCAGTATTACCACACACAGGATCCCTACTCTATTTTCACAAGGAAACTAACTAAGCTTCAATTAGGTGAGCAGCCAAAAACCCCTAACAAAGCCTCCGTTTTATTAACTCTAGCGGAGTTATGAATTGCCAAAGCACCTTAGGGGAAATCACAGCCCCGTTTTGCTTAGAAAGCAAAGAGATAATTCATTTTAATTTTTTTTTTTTTTAATGGAAGAGCAGGGGTTTTTTTTGTTTGTTTGTTTTTTCTGATTCTTGAACACATTTGAAACTTGGCCTTTCTACTCATCCTCCTGAGGCTGTTGCCAACGCAAGGACTGGTCTGGAGGCGCGGGGCTCCCGCGGCTTCACGGCGACCAGGCAACATCTTTGGGAGACTTTTCTCGGAGCGGGGCAAGTGCTCGGTTTGGGAAGAGCCTTCCCGCCTCAGGGAGGGCGGGCGGGAGGCGCCTCCCCCGGCGCCGCCACAGCGGCCGCCGCCTCCCGCCACGGGGTCGGGGCAGGGGCGGCCGCTCGCTCGGGGCTCGCCCGGGCCTGGACCCACCTGCAGCAGCGCGGCCGCCGCCGCCTCCTGCGGCCTCCCCGCGCCCTAGCAACGGGCCGCGCCGGCCGGGCCGCACCACCTGCCCGCCGGAGGGGGAGCCTGCAGAGGGAAGAAGCATTAAACGAGAATCAAACCCGCTCTTCTCTGCTCCTCTTCCCTCACCACACGCCAATTCCTTCTCCTTCCCTCYCGCTGCCCCGCGGTAGCACCGTGGGCCGCCTGTCCGCCGTCCCTGGGCGCTCCCGGCGCCTCGTCCCCCCCCGCGCAGGCGGCGTGGAGCCGGCGGGCGGGCGGAAGGGGCGAGGCGGCGGCGGGCGCCATGGCGGCCGCGGGGCCCTACGCGCTCGTGACCAGCTGCGCCGCCGGCTTCGCGGGCGAGGAGCTCGTCAAACGTGAGTGACGCCGGGGCCGGCACCGCCGCGGCGGCCGGGGGGCTCCGGCCGCGGGCGCCGCGCGCCAGCGCTTCCCCTCCGCCGCGGACCGAGGGCCTCCGTTTCTGTCAGAAAAAGGGTGAAAATGGCTCAGGTTTGGGGGATTGGCACGCGCCGAGGCTGACRGAACAGGAGAAAAGATGAAAAAACAACGACAGGGAGAATAAAGCCAACAAAGACACGGGGACGGTGGGGCGGCCTGCAGGGTGGGTTCTCCTGCTGGCTGCTCCCCACGTCCCGCCTGGAATGGCCCCGAGCACCAGAACAGCATTGTCCCRTAGGAATAAATCAGAGAAACAGAACAAACGCTGGCCCTGAGATCTCATTTTGCATGCTCTATTTGTGATGTGGTCAAAGCTTTGGACCCTCAGGCCTAAAAGAAAATGACTACAAAGCCCTAAGCCCAGGGCTACCTTAGCACCTCCGAGGCAGCCCAGCATTTTGCGTGCAACCTTTGTGGTTGAAATATGCCATAAAATGCTGTACTGCTCTAGAGCTCTATAGCAAATAGAGATCTTTTTAAGTCTAAAAAGCACAAAAACAGAAGACCTCATCTCTGTCACCACTGCTTGGTCGCTGTGCCACTCGCTTTCRCTGCTGAAATATGCCTTATTCTCCAGAAAACCTGTTCTATATAAATAGAAGGAAGCTGCCAAGAGAGTTTACTGTTAGGACATGCATGAAGACTTCTCCTGTGACCTCCTGATAATTTCCAGGGTCATTAGAAGTCTTTTTTCCACAATGTGTTCATCCTGTAGTATAGAGTACAAAATGGATTGAGGATGGGTAGAATATAATGGTACATTTGCTAAATGTTTTTATTCTTTCAAGTTGCCCTGTTTTAGGGCATTAGATCTTGTAGCATAATGAATTTAGTATAAARCACAGCACAGAGCTGGCTCCTTTCTTTTAGATTTTTTTAACCCACAAATCAAGACTCAAACAAGATGCTTGATTTAGTGAGTTTTTATAAATGCTGGCTGATAAATAAAGATCTCATCGATTATGAATTTGTGCAAGTCCTTCAGCATTTCTGCTGTGCTCCTTCCCAACAAAACATGCCAGTCGAACCTGTGTTTTGGAAACCTTTGCTGCTCGGGTGATGGCCAGAGAATTTCTTACCTTGTGTTCCACCAGGTGGCTCTCAAGGCCCAGAATGCGAGCACTGCTCCCTGCACCTACCAGCTCAGAGGACGGGTGAGCATAGGGAAGGACAGCATGGTGCTCAGAGTATTAAATCTGAAAAACAATAGAAAAGTGTTTAGTACTTTAATCTCACTGGAAAAAGTTATCTGCAAATCAGATTTTGGAAAAACATGACTAGTCCAGTGGCAGTCAATAGAAAAGTATTTCAAATATCAGTGGRGTGTTAGAGAAGAGGAAATACTGCAGCCAGAAGTGGTGAGATCTGCCTCTGGTTCTTGGGTTATTTTTTTAGCTCTTTTCTGAAAAATTACATTTCTGTCCTCTAGKTCTGGCTTTGAAAGGACATATATTGCCTTGCACTTACAAAATACTAAGCTTCTGTACTACCAAAAGTAAAATCTGTAAAATTGAATATATTTATGTGAATAAACAGTAGCTGAAATTCACATTCCAAAGAGCATGAATTTATCAGGGTTGTACAGTTTATTAAAACAAGGTGCTTGTAAGCAAGCAAAAAACCCCACATGATTAGTTTGCTGAAAAACATAAGGTTGCGAATGACTACCTGGAATAARGTTGGTTTGGAAGGTGGCATAGGTGAATAGCATCGATGTACACAGGAGGCAACTGTGGTAGGATGGCACTGGTGCCAGCTCAGGCAGTGGGTTTATTTTCATCCCCAGACTACAATGAAAAGCAGTAGCTGAGGAAACTTCTCTTCCTGTGCAAAGGAGCTTTCATGTGCAATTCGTAGGATCCTGAAGTGTGCCGTCTCTTGATGCACCCATTTARATAAGACTAAAAATTGAAGAGAAGTCTGAGAGAATCCTATCAGTGTACACAAATATCCCAAGGGAGAGTGCCAAGAGATTGGGGCCAGGCAATTTGCAGTGGTGCCAGCAATAGGACAAGAGGCAGCGCCCACAAACCAAGACACAGGAAYTAGAWCTCCAGAGGTCCCTTCCACCCTCAACCATTCTGTAAAATAAAATTTATTTCAACGTAATAAAAGCACTGTATTAGTTGCAGTATTTCTTGGACAACATGAACTCTTAAGTCACTATGTTTTAGTGACACTAAGCAGTTCTCTTCTATGGCATGATCTTTTCCATGCATGTTTTCAGTCCTCTTTAATCCTGACGGTTTGGAGGCTGCCTGCATTCCTGTTGTCCAACCAAGCCACTTCTGCTCTATGAAAAGGCAAGTTAATGAAGTCAGCGCAGCAGGCCTGCCCACTGTTGTGGTCAAAGAATGACTCAGTTTTCCAAGCCCTTTGGATGGCAAACCACTGACACTTTCAATGGCTTGGAAGCTTAAAAAAATAATAAAAAAATGAGTAACACAGTGGAGATAATTTAACAAGCCACCTTTTTGCCATATCAGTTTTCTGGAAACTTATTCTGTATCCAACAGAAACTTATTTTGATGAATAGTTTCAAAGATTATGGAAAAAAGCTTTTCTGACTAAATTTTTATTGCATAAGCATGTAAGCCCTCTTGAAAAGAAATTCCTGCCAAGGTGGAATATGTAATCCTTAAAACTAAGGCAGTCTGCAGGCTTTAGCAGCCTTTGCACATTTATTAAAAAAAACCCAAAACTAAGCAATCTAGYAAGCAAGTTTTCCAGAGAAGTATTCACAAGATAGACAATTGCACTTAGTTTTCCTGTCATGAGTTGTAAGGTTGCTTTGCACTGATTTGTTGCCAACACATACGCAGTCTATAAACCTTTTTGCAGTAGCTCTTTTATATTCTTGCTACAGTGTGTGGTTTACCGAGGTGACTAAAGGAATTCCTTTCCTCTTCCTGCTTTCYTCCCTTGGTTTTCTTCCTACCACCTTTTGCTGGTTTTGGGACTTAAGAYAATTTTGGTGTCAAACTGTCAGATTATACATGGTTATACCCTGGAGCATCAAACAGAGGGAGAAGATGACACAAATGAGAAATGAGACCTTATTTGCCATTTAAGTAGCAAAAAGGGAAACAAAAATAAATCACTTTTGCTAATAAGTTGCACTGAAGTTGAGGTAGATATAAAAGGGTGCCTCTGAGGTTACAGCTTCTGCATTGGCTTGCAATTCTCTAACACAGAACTGATTTTTATTTAATTCACTTCTAACTGTCCTAACACTTGCTAGGGGGAATTTTTAGCATACTATATGTGGTATTTAAAACCTCCAAGCAAAATATCTGCTTTCTAGGGCAAAAGCAGACACTGCGCTTATGTTTGAAGCWCTGGGCTCCAGATCCTCCCCAGACTCATTCTCAGAAGAGCTGGGGTTGGCAGGGACCTCTGGAGGCCCCCGATTTAGGGGGAAAAATGGTATTGTAGTTTTAAAAACACACAAGAAAACTGTCTAACCAGTTATTTCAGTTATACCAATTACTACCTTTTTATGGCAATTGTGGCAATATTCCTGCTTTTTTTTTAAATAAGTTACAGAACATTTCAGATTAAATTTCAGATTATCAGAGGAACAGCCTGTTCTGATGTCTCTGGCAGTTGTCCCCCCAAAACCTTTAAAATCTGATCCTTTAAATCTGACAAGCCACAGGTTTGATTTCTTTGAAACTGTTCTGATGCCCAAGGAAATTTTAGGGGTCTATTTTGTATGAAATTCACCCATTCTGTTGAAACAGGTCCCTGAGTTTCCCCCTTGGAGGAGGTTCTGCCTGCAGCACTTGGGTGTGTGCAGGGTGCTTTGCCATTAACTATAATTCAACTCCAGCAGGTGGCTGTCATGCCACGAGAGTCAGTTCTGCTAGGCTGGTTACAGGCACAATTGTTAAACGCTACATGGAATTTAATGAGAATTACACCTAAGCTTCAGTACTTGGTCTGTTTTCTCATTAGTTATCCTACGGTATTTTGGTCACAGTTTGKTTTTTTTTAACATCTGAATAAGCCTGCAAGTTCTGCATCTCCTGTAACGAAGACTAGACATTCTGTCTGTACATTGTGCTTGCAGGTATGGAGTTTGAAGCTCTGAAGGCATTTCCAAGAAAAGTCTTGCCTTTTGAAAACCTTTTGGGAGGCATTTTATTTTGAAATATAAAAAAATCGTAGATTTCTGTAACTGATTTGTTACTTGCTAAAATTTACTATTCTCTAGAATTAAGTAACAAATTGACTTTGAGCTTTTAAAGATCTTAAATACTTAGGTTATTATACTAAAAGATGGCTCTGCACTGGCAATATACCACACTTTAATGAATTATTTTCTTGCTGCTGGTTTAGTCACATATCTTTTCTTTTATATAGGTATCACTGGAAAAGATGACCTTACTGTGGATGCATCTGCAACTGGCAGAGTGAATTTCTATCCCTGGACAATAGATAATAAATACTATTCTGCAGATATTCATCTCTGTGTGGTACCAAGCACATCTCTTGTTACAGGAGAGATTGCTGAATCTGTTCAAGCATTTGTGGTTTACTTCGACAGCACAATAGTAAGACTCTTCTGCTTCCTTATATTGCCTTATTTGTATAAGTTGTCTTATAGTTGTCTCATAACAATGATAACCACAACTTATATTCTCTTTTCCCTGTGGCCCTCATTCCTCTCAGGCTGATCTATTAATGGCTGTTAGATGAAAGTTAAGTTATGCCCTCTGGTAGCAGCAGCAGCAGCGATTTTTTTTCCTTCTTGCTATCTTACTGGAGTTGAAAGAGAGGCTTTTCAGGGTGCTCACATGCCATCAAGYTGGGCACATCCTTCTCCAGCCTGACTTCTAGTAGGTGCTAGCACAGAAGAGCTGGTTTAGAATAGCCAAGAGTCAAAGAGAAATTCAAGTTTCAGTGCTGTCCTCACTTACCTGAGACTTTTCACTGCTGCCAGCTTAGAATTAAAGGCTTTAGCAAAAGTTGGACAGACTTTGAAACAAGAAATTGAAAGACTATTCTGAATAAGGAACTGTGTATACTGCATATTCTGTAACGGTTCCTTCAGCTCCACCTCAGGACTATCTCAGAATAAACCAGAGCAACCATAGTGGTTCACCAATCCCCATAACATTGACTTCAAGGCAGAAGAAGAAATAGCTGAAYACTAAACCCGAGATCAGCTTAGAATGAAATACAAGTGCTTACTRTTAAACCTTTCCTAATAGGAATTAGGATTGCCTAATTAATATCCAATATGAAAGGGGGTCCAAGGGAGTCGAATAAACTCATCTGAAATGTAAATAAGTTATATGCAAATCAACTTCTCTGGTTGGAACAGAGATCTTAAACATGCTTAATATGCAGCCTAGCCAACTTAAAGTAGCAACTAGATCTGTAACCTTTTTACTTTCTTCATTGCTTTTATTTTAACACTATGAATGATTTTAAAATTTGCACAGTATTTCAGAGAAACCTTTTTGTCTCCTTTAGAAATCTGGACTTGATAGCGTCTCTGAATGGCTTCCCCTAACAGAGGAGTGGTTACCTGAAGTCATGATCCTGGTCTGTGACAGAGTCTCTGAAAATGGTATGACACCCAAGCGAGTCCCAGCCTGGCCTAAAGTTATTCATCTTTTATTAAACTAGCACAGTCATCTCCTTAATAGTCCAACTGAAAAAGAGCTCAGGATTTAATAGAGAAAAGCCAGGTTACTCAGATGACTGGAAACAGGAATCTTAAGCTAGTTGTGGTTAAAACTGAACCAGGGTTTTCCATGCTTGCTTAAAATGAGCACTATCCTATTCCTGGCACAGGAATGTGCACTGCAAGGTAACTGTCAGTGTGGTCATATTACTGAATGTGCATGAACTTCTACAGCAAATAGAGAGGATGACTATTGTTTGAATAGTGGAAGGTAGATGTCTTTGATCATCTGACAAATCTACACACCTGCTTTGATTCTAGATCAGCATTAAATAATACTGTAGCATATTTCATGTTTAAGGCCAGAGTAATAGAAAACTTCCCTGTGGCACTTCACTTATTTCCCTCAGAGCATTCACTGCAAAGTCAGTCTATTTAAAAACACTGATGCAAAGGATGAGATTAATTCAGGGACTTTCAGAATCAATTTCCAATCAAATGGAGCACCCAAGACAACCAGTAYATGCTTCTCACCTGCTCAATTCCAAAAGAAACCCGCAACTTCATGAGAATAAAATGTAGSTAAAGATTTGACTGCTAGTACTAGTTTCAAATGTGTATGGTTAGAAGGGATTTTTTGTTTCCCAACTGTAGGTGTTAATAGACAGCAAGCTCAAGAATGGTGCATCAAACATGGCTTTGAACTGGTAGAACTTAGCCCTGAGGAGCTGCCTGATGAAGATGGTAAGATCAGCACTTCTGCTTTAATTTGTAGAATGAAAACAACACCCCAAAATATCTTCTCAACAATTGCAAGGGGCACAACTTTATTTCTGTGCTGCAAGATGACTGCATGGAATGCTCCCAGTTGGTGAGGCTTAGTGTGAGCTGTAAAAGGTCAGGAGGAGGAGGTTATTTCCTCCAAGACATTCCATGTGTCTCCTCCCAAATACAGCTGCTATTTATGTAGTACCTACATAAAAATAATATCTGTTCTCTCTTCTGGTGGTAATCCTAGAACAGTATTGATATATATAAAGATATATAGAAATTTTTAGATTGATTTCAAAACTGAATTTAAACAAGAACCAAATAAGCACTCAAGGATGGGAAAGTTCTCTCTGACTTTTTAAAATAAAGTTTTGAAAGCTGATGTACGTACACCCGAAAAAGTTAACATTAACTCAGATGGTGACATGATCAGCAGCAAAGCAAAGTTAATTAAAAACATTTTAGAAGAGTCTGCACTGTTACACAGGAAATAAACCAGTTTCAAAATCACTTGCCTGACCATATGTTTATAACTTGAAAAAAAAACATAAAGCAAAGTGTGCTGTGTGATGTTCCAGTCGTAAAAAGTGACTCTGCATTTCCAGAAAGCCTTATCAGCATCAGTCTTATCTCCTTATTTCAAGGGATACAAAATCTTTACATCTTACCCCCACAGGGCCAAAAGTAGATAGGCAACTTCTGAAACTTCATGTCCAGACTTGAGTGGAATTATTCATTAACATTTGCCATATTATAAATTCACTACACAGCTGTCAGCAAAAATAATTTAGTCTAAAGGACTTCTAAGCCTCCCCCAGCCCCATTAAAGAACCTTGATTAAAATTGCATCTTGAGTAGGTAAGTACCCTTCCATGTCTTTCGGATGCGTTTCGTTTTGGCCCATTGTTAGGTGCACAGGGAACATTTCATGTACTTACAGAAACCAGACAAGTAGGAAATTGATACCACTTAGACTCAAGCTTTAATTTTGAAGTGGTTTTAAAGGAAACATAAGTAACATTAAAGTCGACTTATCTTTCTATTGAATAACTAAGAAGGAAAAGCCGTTTACTGTGCAAATAATGTAAGCAGTGGGAATATTAATAATCACTCAGGATGTTGGTCTTTGGAGCAGTAATATAGATGTTTTCCCCTGCACTTTTAACATAATTGATTCACTATGACTCACACAGAGGATACACATTTCAGTGAGTAACATGTTTACCCTGTAAATGCGTTCTATGATTTGCTTACAAAAGCTGATAAAACAGATGCAGTGAAGACATTGGGCCAAAGTGTGTTTAAAAATGACGCTATTCCTGGCAGCTCGTCACAAATCAACTAGAGCTCTTCCTGTGACTACATTATCAGTCAGTTGTTTTGTATCCTACAGACTGACTTCTTAATTGAACACTSTTCACAATGACTCTGATGCTTCATCCTTCATGCTGCTGCTGCTTGGTTTTGTATTTGATTTAAGGAGTCATAGGTAATTTTAAACTCATTTTTAAGGTCAATTTCAAACATTACACCTGTCTGAGTCATCCGACAAGTGTGTGATTCTTTTAAGCAATCACATTTTCCCTTCCAAAGGGTTTTTCTTCCCTATTGCTTTGAGACCTGCACAAACATGGGAAGCTGACTAAGCTGAGGAAATGGGAAAACTGACTTTGTATCCACAAAGGGTTGTCAGCTCTATTCAGTAAATAAGTTCAGCTGGGAATAATGCTTCYACTAGTCTTTCAGATTAGTTTATGGAATCACTGGAACAGCTGAAGTTAGATTTTTATGGAGATAGCTTCAGACAGTTCATTTTCATTTAAGTGTTACTGCTTTTTAACACACCTGAGAGCTTCTGGTAGTGCAGTAGAGTAGGAAAGGGTCAATAGACCATACATCTAAGCACTACCCTTTACTTGCCAAAGGAAGGAAATATTACCGTCTATTTATATAACGTACAGAGTTCTGGAAGATTAAGATTGGAAGCTAGTTTGCTTTTAAGTGACTTAACTTGTCTGTTACTCTAAAGTTCTTGCATGTTATTTACCAATATAGCAATTCTGAACACTTTTAATGATGAATATTGAACAAAACCTTACTCAGAATTTAGATCTCTGTGCAGTCAAGACCGAGCACTTACAGTTCATACTACCTGGAAGCCTGTTCCCAAGTGATGTGCTGATATATATTTACTTAGCAAACTAAGTCTTCCCTTGTAGGAAAAGTCTCTTTAAAGCCATTGCTATAAAATAGGACAGCCACGTGGCTTACTTTCAAAATGCATAATGGTTTTGTTTCCGAGGAGTGAAATGGTTTTCATCTTTTTGTTCAGATGATTTTCCAGAATCCACAGGAGTCAAACGAATTGTGCAAGCCTTGAATGCCAATGTGTGGTCCAATGTAGTCATGAAGAGTGGTATGTAATTCAAATTTCTTACAACAGAAGCCTGCATTCTGGAGAACGCTTGATAGTTTTAGCAAAAGTTTAAATTGAGCAAGTACAGCACTGCTGCCAGTGCTGCAACACACAGGGAATTAGAGCACCCTTCACATGGGAGCATCCTCTTACATGGGTTGGGAGGGTTTCCAGGCACCGCTTTTATTGTCCCTCGATGCACAGAGAAACATAGAGGTAACATGTGAAGTTTAATTCCATTTCAATGTCTGTTCATGTACTTTGACTTGCTTTCTACAAATAACCTGAGTTAAGCATTCCTCTAAGTCTCTTCAGATTTCCCCRAGAAACAAAAGCTCATTCAACAAAGACTCAAGCAGAAAATAGTGTGTCATTATCAGCCTGGTGTAAAAGCTGTAACAAACCTCTATTTACAATGCACTTTAAATTATGCATATTTTAAATTTTTAAAGGATTGTTTTTAAAAGTTGTGAAACCGTAATGAGAATTGCAAATGCAGGGACAGGACTCAATCTCAATTTTCTCTTGAAGGATTTAATACTAACTGCATTGCAAGGACCTTCTTCTCTAAAGAAAGTCCCACTTGAATAAATGGAAATTACTTTTTTTTTAATAGTAAAGAATTAAGCAGCTCAGTTTCCTGCAGGTGCTTTATTATCGGGTAGAATTAGAGTTTGGGAAAAAATCAGTTGAGGATTAGACTCATTAGAAAAGGCAGTGCTATGACTAGCCCAGAGTTCTGGTAAGTGTAGGTCACTTATGTCCTTTCAGACCTTTAATTGCTTTTCTAATTAGACAAGCTTTTGCAGGAAATGTAGGAAAACAAAACTCTTGTGGAACATTTGGCCTCCCATTGCTTATTGCAAAGCTTTACCCCACTGCTAACCTCCCCATGTCCACCTGCTCCCTGATGCACTTCGTTAACGTGGTGACTTTTCCTTCAGGAATCCCTTAACAGTGCCATGTTCTCAGGTGCTGCAAGGTTTTACCCATTTCTTTAACTGCAAGACAATTCTTGGGATCCAGCAGAACTAAGATGGGAACTACTACACTGATAACCTATTGGTTTAATTAGCCTTTTGACTATGTCTGCATCAGAATGAGATTAAGGCAGGCTCTAATTTAGTGTAGCCATGTAGGGAAGCAGGTAGCCATTCGAGCTGGTGCCGAGTTATCTCGCCAGTGCAAGAGCAGTTTTCTCGACAGCCCGTTTCCTGCGTTTGACAGATGCCACGTTACAGAAGAGCAGAAGTTAGTCACACGCTCRGTTCTTCACGGGGGGAAATTCCTATGCATCATTAGTGTGTTCTGCAAAGGTCAGACTCCTTGGGAATCCASATTTTGCATCTCTGCAGCGCAGAAACCACATAGCATCGGTCTGTGTTGCTGCAGCCCCTCCGGAAGGGAGCTATATTTGGATGCCAGTGCAATTTGAGGCTGCTTTCAAAGGGAAATAGTTAAGCTCATTTTAACTAAAGTGAAACCAACTGCAACCAGAAACACATCTTTTTGTGTTTAGCTTCCTCTTGGTCCCGAAAGTCAGCTGCCATATCAGTAAAACTGTAGCTTTTTTTATTGAGTTGTCTTCATAAAAAACTCTCTCTCAACTAGAGACCACACAGTCATGCTTTATGTGAGGCTTTTTCACACTAAGTGCTAGATATTTGCCTATCACTAGAGGCTTGTAGCACTCAAGGGTAGCCATCCAGAAAGCCAGTCCTACAGCATTGCCTTAGTTCAGCTCTCCACGTTGAGGGCTTAAGTTAATGAACAGGGTAGGAAGGGGGTTTTTATCTACGAGCATTAAATCCATATCATTTTACAGGGTGTCATCTTAAAAAAAAGAAGTCTGAAGTTGTGACACAGCTTTTCCACACACCTATCAAGAAAGTTCCTGACCTTTTAGTTCTTTTAACAGATATGTTTATTCTAATGCTAAGGCATGAAAAATAGAAGTTAAAGAGCTGAATCGTAACCYTTTTTACATCATATAATACCACATGATTTGTGAATGGGTAAATACAGCAGTTTTGTCTGCTTGATGCATTTATTAAAGGAGGAAAAAAAGCTTATGACAAAAAAAAAACAAGCAGTCTTACCTGAGAGTCCCCAAAGAGCAATTCCTTTTAGTAGCTGGGATAAATCTGGTGCTTCTGCAGGTCTCAGAGCTCTCTCCAGGGTGAGAATYGGGTGCTTTTTGAGTCTTCCTGGAGCAGAGGAGCACACGTAGGTGTTCAGTTAACCACCCCACTGTGCATACACGCATAGAGCTGGCACAACGCTGGTATCCTGAGCCACCCTGCTGAGATCCCAGCTARCTGACCTGGGCAGCAAGAGGAGAACCAGGTTGTTGTTCTCTAGAGGAGGCTGCCTGGCCTCTTCCCTGCTTAAATACCTGCTCAGGGCTCACAGCTGAGGCCGGTTGTGGTGGGCAGGGGCCTTTAGCCCAACTCCCCTCCCAAGGAATTAGCCTGATTTGGAGAAACACTTCAAACCTCCATGTCAGAACAAACTGGGAGCTGCAGCCTTGGAATTCCCGGTTTGTTGGAAAGCCAAGGTCAGCACATGGCAGCTGCAGATGGAATAGTGAAGGATAATACCTAAAGACATTTGAAAACATTTTGCTCTGAAGTGAACGTATATAAACATCCATCTCCACGCCACGAGCTGAGCCCAGTTTAGCAAAGCTCCCCAGCTGCTGTTAAGAGGCTCTTGTGAAAATCCAGCGGCTCCATCATAACGGAGCCGTCAACTCTTACAATAATTGGAGTGAGCTAATTCTTGGCTTTGCTCCTGCAGGAACACTGTGTAAGGCATCACCCACTTCCTGCGGTGCACCCAGAAGCTGAAATATTTTTTACATCTAATAAAAGAGGTTTATTAAAAAGCAGCAGAATTCTGCAGAAAAGAGCTAATTGCAGCGAAAACCTGGGAAGAAAGGGAGGTCACTGGAGTGGGGGGACACGGAGTGGGTAGAGGCCTGGGCAGGACATGCACAGAAAGGGAGGATGAGGAGGATGAGGACGTACCCGGGGAAGGTTCTGAGGCAGGAAATGAGGTCTTTGCAGTTCTCTGCTTGGGCTCTGTTTACATGTTTTCGAGCTCGCTGATGGTTTTAGTTACACATCCAACTCTCCAAAATGAAATTTCGTATAAACTGCAAGTAGATTTGGACACTGTGTTAAATTACATCATCTCTACATTTAAGTCTAGAGCTTAGTCATTACTGTAATATTAATTCAGAACAGATTAAGAAAAAAAAAGTAAAATTAATCTTCCCTCTGTCCCAAGTCGTTGTTTTCTGGCTATTTGTTGTTTAGCAACATTACTTCTTTTTAGTTGACTCCAGTAGTAGTATTTTGGGAAAAATCTCCTGAGTCCCCTGTGTAACYGTGAAGCCAGCAGAAAATACAACAYAGTAGAAAAGCCCATAACATAGCTTTTTACACATATTCTTATTTTAAAGTTTTAAAAATACAGTTAATAATTTTAAAATACTGTACTACATCTGTCATCATAAAGGAATTGTTTTTTTAATTTTTAGTTCTGTATTTGTTTAGGTCGGATTTTGAAATACTATTAAAATGTCCAGTAGGTTAAGGCATGTGGAAAGCCCAAAGAACCTTGCAGTTTGGAGAAACTTGGAATTTGATGGCTAGCTACAGTATTAGATGTTTAAGTTTTGCTTTTGGCTTGAGTATATTGCTAACCTATTTAGAAGACATGGGTAGAGCAAAGGCACTTGTTGCATTTCCTGTGTTTAACCACAAGCAAATACACAGATCTCTTGTGACTCACTTATCTATTCCCTGTTGGTTGAGGAATTTAGCAGTAAATATTGTTCACATACCTTTAAAAAGATTAGAGAATAGGAAAARTTTCTGCTGACGATGTATTTCCAAGGGCACGGATATGGTTTTATAGGGTGGTATTTGTGATCCCTAAAATCSTCTCCATCCCAGCCGGACAGTTGCAGTGGTTTCGGATGAGACATTGCCTCTTGTGTGGCGCTAACAGCTGCTTTGTCCCCAGACAGGAGCCAGGGCTTCGGCCTCCTCACCACTCTAGCAGGTGCAAACTGCGGCGTCGGCTCGGAAGAGAGCCCAGATACAGAAGTAAACAGTAATTCCTATTCCTTGTTCTCTGTYGTCGCGGCTTCCCGTGCTGCCCTTCCCTGCTGCCCCCCGGCGTGGGGGCTCTGGGGGCCGCGGCTCCTCCAGCTTTGTGCTCCTTTCTCAGGGGACTCTTTGCAGCCTGGCRGAATTTTTGGGGAAGGAAACTCAGAAATTATTGCCTGCGTTTTCCTTGAAAACGCCTGGGTGCCACAGGCTGTCAGCCTGTGCCTGGGAGCTCCCTCCCTCTCATTGCTCCATCATTTCACCTGCGGACGCTGGCTGTTGTTGGGAAAGCTCTTGGGTGTTGTTGCACATATSCCAGCTGTGTGAAACCCCACTGGAGCGTGAGATGCCCCATGAAGATCCTGTTTTCCAGTACTATCCAAGAGCTAAACAGAAACTATCATTTAAACAGTTTGTTTAAAAATAGCTACGAACACCCTCTCAGAGAAACCCCCTTCACATAGCGGCTACGTGGTGTTGCAAAAGCATGTGGGTTTTCAGGGATACATTTGGCAGAGGCTTTGCAGTACGTAGCTTTCAATTTAAGTTAGAGAACAGGACTTTCATGTTAAAACACCTGCTGATAAGGCTTTCTTGATACAGGAATATCTGTTTGCTTCCTGACAGTCCAGTCCACCGTCGGCAGGCAGAGAAGAGCCCCACTTAGACAGCAGGGAAGATGCAGCCAGCACAAACAACCTGCAGATTGACAGCATTGTAGGTAAGCTCGGTCCCTGCTCGACAGGCACGTTGGGAATATTGTGCAGGAGGTAACGATTCCYGGGATGGGAATTAGGGAAAAGAGCCTTAGGACTCTCTTCATCTCTTTCAGTCCTTGGGCCACAAGGTGAAAAATAGCAGGCAGCCTCTATAGCAGCACTTCTCTACGCCCTGGAGYCAAGGCAGGGGTTTGGTCTTACAGAACTGCCAGTGGGAGCATGTGGTCTGATTTTGTGGCATCTGATCCATGGTTCTTTATACCAAGAAACATCAAGATAAGAATAAAACTCTTATGGTTGCGGCTAAGAATCATGGCAACGTGTTGCCTCCAAGCTCCTCAGCAGGAGGCAAATGAAGGACATTCTTCATAGGTCACTCCTACAAGATCCAGGGCTTTTAAGCTAGCAGAGATCCTTAAATAATTGCACTGTTCCAGGACATACAATTTATATGTGGAAATCTTAAAGGTTAGGGGCTGTTAGTTGTGATCTAAGCAGAATCTCATTACTCTTTAATTTTTATAGTCTATGGCTGTTCCTAGGCAGATTGTTTGATGACGAACAAGAAACCTCTTAAATATTGGATGAATCCAAACCAGTCTGGCAGTGTAACATATCAAAATTAGGTAGCACTGCACCGCTGCTCTGAGTTGTCTGTCTGAACAAGTGGTAAATTAAAAGTTTCTTTCCCTCATCTTATATATGGGATCTTATTAAAGTCCTGGCTGTTTTTACCAGAAGATCTGTTTCCAAACCTGGCAAGCCAGAATAATACCTCAAATCAATCTAAATGCCTTCATTTCAGATCCCATGCTAGATCTGGACATTCAAGAACTAGCCAGCCTGACCACAGGAGAAGGTGACGTGGAGAACTTCGAAAGGCTGTTTTCAAAGCTCAAAGAAATGAAAGGTACTGTACCTGGGAGAGAGATGCTAAGTGTCTCCGCCGTTTTAATCATTTAAAGTCATGAAAGCCAGTGTGTCAGTCGGGAGACTCTACATATTCCTATTCTGCCGCCTGAGCTTTTGCAGAACAGCTGGTCTTTTCATTAATTTCTTCTTCATCTTGGAAAAGCTCTTGAGAGAAGCAGGKATTGCTCTGCTGACTGCTGTCCCACTGAGTTAGTCCACCCTGCTCTATAAACTAACCTGTAACGAGACTTACTTGAGCTCTGCAACTGCTCTTGCAGCTTAATGGGCAGTTACAGATGTGTGACATGAAATCCAGAGTGCTCAGGAGCATTGAGTCTTYTTTTCTGGGAATCACAACAGTCCTAACTAAATAAATTCCCCTTTTTTACAGTCTTACACTAGTTTCTCGGTGGTCCCTAGCACACAGCATTTCTCTCGCCGCTCACTCTTGAGTGACAGCCTAAAGCCATGTTCTTTTCCACAGATAAAGCAGCAACGTTGCCCCATGAGCAGAGAAAACTACACGCAGAAAAGGTGAGGTTGGCAATCGGCATTGAAATTATTARAAATGGGCACCAGTTTTGTGGCGTTTTCCTTTCTGAGTAGCAGTTACCTCTCTCTGTAATAGAGCTCATATACTGAGTAGTATATGAGGCTCTGAGATGACTTAGGGCATCAGCCAGCKCCCACTTAAGGCAATGAAAAACCTTGATTTGGGGTAAAACTCAGCCAGGCCTTAGCACRGAATTTGTATCACGTATTCCCCCGTGGTTTATGAAGCCTTCTAAATTATCGCCTCTCTGGTGTTTAAATTTCTTAGCTTGGAGGGAGCACTTCAGCTAGAGCCGGGGTTGCTAGAAACCGCTGCTCAGTTTCTGTTTTTATGATGATAAATGCAAAATCWTGTGTCATTTGAGGGGATAATTTTTTCTTTTATGGTCTTTAGGTGGCCAAAGCCTTCTGGATGGCCATCGGAGGAGACAGGGATGAAATTGAAGGCCTCTCTTCCGATGAAGAAAACTAAGTTCTCCTGTAAGCAACAGAGCAACCCTGGAAGAGTGATCCTTGCCCGCAGCGAGCGCTTGTTGCTAGAAGCCTCATTTAGCTTTAGTTGCTTCTTTGGTTAAAGGATTCTCTATGTTAYTAAGTAGCACATTCCACAACACCCAATGGTTGGCGAGGTTTTGTTTGCCTGTTCACTCATTCAGTCCCGAGGATTTGGGAGGGCAGTGGACGCCTTCCAGGTGTGTGCAGTTAGAGGAGACAATAGGTTAGTTTACATTTTTCAAATTATCACTTTTCCTGTTTCCTGATTTGCGTTAAAAAAATCAAAACCCACCAGTTATCTTTCTACATAGGGCTGGCGCTTGTTAAGTGACTACTTAATTCTGCGCTCAGGATACTAGATACAGGCCTGGTCGATGTTTTTAGGTAGCTTTAAAGCTGACCCACTAGTCAAAACAAAACCCAGATTCACATGCAGAGAAGGCTGCAGAACTGTGCTGCACTGTGAGACGCTCCACCAAGGCTGCCAGGTTCGTCCTGCCGAGTGCCAAAGCCATTSCAAGTGGCCCCTAGGCCTTGAATTCTCTCTGCCTGTGTGAGTACGTGGCCCTTCCCTGGGGAAGGGAGTGTGCCACGCTCATGGGTTTTCCATTTTGTCTGCTTTTTCAGGGGTGAAGTTCCTTGCACAAACCCTCTGCAGCACTCGGTCTTCAGGCCTAGGAGAACATGCCGAGCTCAGGCCTAAATACCTGAGGAGCTGTGACCCGCTGTCACCTGGCTTATGTGACAGGTTTATGCTCCTGTTTCCTGATCGGAAGGTACCAGAGCTCAAGCCTCAGATTGCTGCTTCCTGGCTAGAAAAAAAGCCCTTCATCCTCAGAGAATGAGGATCATGATGAGGAATGAGGAAGGGTTCAGCCCTTCATCTTCTCACGTTAATAAATATAGTGGGTCCTGAGATTATCAGCTCCAAATTTTGAAGATAYTTCTCACTGTGGTTTTCACACACGYTTAAGGAACCATCTACCAGGGCCACCCCTTCCAAGTGAGTGGTGTAAGACACMTTGTCCCAGCTCTCTCCTTGTCCGCTTTCTCTTCTCACTGGCCACCTTGTTTTCCCCTAGCCCAGGACTGAAGGTGATTTCTTCCAAGCAGGGAACAGTTTTTCATGTCTGCTTCTTTCTTCCTCTCTAAATATTTGTTGTGCAATAGAGACAAATGGCAAAAGCGCAGAGCAAATTAACTGAACACACTGAAAAACATAATGCATTTGAATACTTTATAAAAACAGTTCTTTATACATGTGGTTTCTTTWCATAGGTGATATTTTATTTAAATTTAATAAAATTATACAAGTTAAATTTAACCTCTTTGCTGCTTTTTTGCAAGATACCAGCAGCTAGAGCAGGTGAAGGCATCCGAGCTGCCTTCAYCTCACACTGGCCAAGCATCTGTGCAAATTTTTGGTGCAGATCTCACTTAGGTACTAACAGCTCCTGGAAACCGGTTGTTTTAAGTTTGTATCTTGTGAGTAGATGTGTTTTAGGCTTTAAAAAAGCATTATTCATCAAAATAAGAGCTGTGGCTACAATACAGTGGGAAGAAGTTTCAGTGATCCTTACAGATTGTCATACTGTGTTTCTAAATCAGTTTGCTTTGCTAGTGGTTGATTATTTTGGGAGGAGAGGCTTTGGTTTTGCCTATAGAATTTGTTAACAAAAATGGATGTTACAGGAATGAATAAAGGGGCCTGGAAAAGCTTCTCTTTGACTTACACCCCAGCTATGCTTAATGACAGCAACAAGCCCTGTGTTGGCATAAAGTCTGCGTCGCCGTTTGGGCCCGTTGGCTCTGCCTAGTCTGAGCGCGCAGCGCTGAGCCGGGCTCTGCGCCGAGAGCTGGGCACCGGGCTGCAGGAAGCGGCTGCTCCAAGGCAGGATGGCTACAGCAAAGCCCGGCCTGCCTGGAAGCCCTAACTCATTTTAAGACACGCTTTGAAGGACAACGCTACAGGGCTTCATGCAAACAGCAAGAATTCCTCTCTGGCTGCTGTTTCTGCAAGAAAGCGCAAGGAGAAGGGATGGCAGCTGTGTTGTTAACGGAGAGCAGCCCCTCGGCAGAGCGTTCTGACTTCAACACAACTGCTCAGAGAGCAGAAGGGCACCGGAGCTCCCTGCCCCGGCGCGCGCGGCYCGTCCTCATTCCCTGGTTTCAGAATGGCCCATCCGTGAGCGGGTCGTTCCCAGGGCCAGGCCGGTATCTCGCTGTCACCGCCAGGCCCCGTCCTGGCCAGGGCCTCCTCACACCAGGACCTTCCTGCCAGGACAGACCCACCTTCCTGGCCCGGCCTTTGCCCCCCGAGGGRGGTTCCTCGGACAAGGCTTCTGTGTTCTTCTCATTACCAACCCTGTATTTTGCATCAGCTTCTCATTTCTGGTTTCCAAAGCTCCAAGTGCTTGGAGTTTGCATGAGGTTTTGGGTCTTGGAGTTTTGAGTTTGCAGCAGTTCTGGGGGTCTACTTTTACAATATCCCAACTTGCTCATGAGTTTTTGAATCAAAGTTTATTAAAATGGCAAAAATAGAACTTACAGTTTCACATATATAAGAGGGCATACATAGTACAGGCCTTTAGTAACAAGAGAGGTGACTAATGCGTAAGAAGCCAGAGCCGCTGAACACAGAGGAGGCCGAGGCGCGAGGGAAGGCGCTCGCCGGCGGCCGTCCGGAGGGCGAGGGCTGGCGGCTCCGGCGGCCGCGCTGCAGGAGACAGGCAACAAACCACAACCCGCGCTGCACAAACAGCGTCTGTTCTTCCTAAAACCTCCTTGGGTTGTTCCGGAATCCCAACGGACCGCTGGGAACATCCCCGGGCCCATGGGGAACCGGGYTGGTGACGAGGACACGCGGCAGCGACTTGGGCACGGGGCCACCGCGGGGCTCGTCCTGCCCCACGGCTGCCACGAGGCTCCTGTTCTCAGCCCAGCGCCCTCCTGGTTCCAGCAGTCACCAGAAAGGAACGTGTGAAAGATTTAAGACTCTGAATCCTTCCCCGGGAAAAATTAAATATTTGATTCATCTGAGTATTCAGAAAGACAACATAAATATAAAAGCATGTACATAATAATAAAAAAAAGAAGTATATGGAATTTCTTAACCATACCGCTCAACCGACTACTATATAGAGCCTAATTATTTCTCATTCTAGCTTTACCAGCTTATTTGGGATCCTCCGTTCCTCCTACCCATCCAGTACCTTGGAGAACTGGGAGAGCTCACGGGGTTTGGTGGCGTGGCCAAGTCCTTCAGCGAGTGGCGCTCCCGCTGCTCCCGCCGCTCTTCCCATTCCACAGGGAGCACAAGGCTCAGGCGCCAACACCCGCTGCTCGAGGCCCCGGATGCTCCTCATGTTCCTCGTGCTCCAGCTGAGGGATTCGGTCGCATTTTGCTCCGTGCTTGGTCAAGGCGCAGGGTCCAGCAGCCGGAGCTCTGCAGACATCCGATGTGATCCCGTTTCTCCACCTGGGGACAYGGGCACGTGGAGCCCTGGCATCACCCCGGCACCACTGGATGACTTCTGAGCCTCACCACAAAATACACGCTGCAATTCAGTTCAATACGTTAATAATAATAATACAAAAAAGAAGTAATCACCACAGTCATTCAAAACCACAAGGCCATCAGTATCATCTGCCAGCAGCCAGGCCCTCGCGTGCGGCTGCGCCGGGTAAACAGAGCCCGAGTTCCTGCTAGTGACAGTAACAAAAACGTACGAAATCCCAGTCGGTCCCGCCGAGAACGAGAGGATGTTCCCACGTGGAGACGCAGGCCGAGCCGGGCAGGCCGTGATGTACATTGGTGCTACATTCAAAGCTACTTGGAAAACGGTTTGGAAAAGGAAGCGGCAGCCACGGTGTCCCCTCGGCCTGACTGTGACGTGTGCGGGATCGGCTCCGAGCTCCGGGATCAGCCCTRGGCTCCAGGTTTGGCTCCGAGCTCTGGGATCAGCTCCAGGCTCCATGTCCAGGGTTGGCTCCGGGATCAGCTCTGGGCTCCAGGTTTGGCTCCGAGCTCCGGGATCAGCCCTRGGCTCCGTGTCCGGGATCGGCTCGGCCCAGGACTTTCCATCGGACTTGACGCAACCCAGGAAACCCTGAAACTTCCGTGAGTTGGTGAAAAGGCAACGGGCGAGGGGGAGGAGCGGGAATTACCATGCCAGTGGGGACAAGCTCCTCTGCGGCTGATCTAGACGGGCCGCGTTTTCCATCTGGTGCCCTTTTCCTTAGGGCATGCTGAGGGGAGAGTCTGCCCGTCTATGGGGAATCACAGTCGGCTGCTGGAGGGGCTCAATGAGCCCCGATCCCGCCGGGGCTCCGYGTTGAAGCCCATTCCAGCTCGGAGCGCGGGGTCGGCACCGCTCGGAGATAACAAAAACAGCCCCTTAAACAAGCGGGGAGGAACCCGGGCCGCTTTCACACGGTGCCTTTTCCTTCTGAGCAGAGCCGCGAGGCAGAGCTTTCCACAAAAGCCAGGCCTGGGCTTTGTTGGGACCCCCTGTGTGGGGCATTTCCCAAATCCATCAGGGCGGCAGTCAGAGCTACTTCCGAAGCGGCCACAAAGGAGCATTTACRGAGAGGCTCCTGCTGCACAAGTCCGCACCTCAGAGCCTCAACTGRGCCCTGACACTGTGCAGAAACGAAGACGATCCTGGAGAACCTCCCGTGCTCCAACAGCAGCCTCGACGCGCTGTGCAAGCTCCAGGGAAAATCCCACGGGAAGATATCCAGCTCAGGGAGCTCAGGAGCGCGACGGCCAAAGTCCTCCTCAGCATGTAGGTGTCTCAGACAAAGCATCATCCATGGACTGTCCCTCATCCATGGACCTTCCATCATCTATGGACGTTGGTGACATCTCGGATCCAGGTGCACAGGTCCTGCCGAAGGGAGCGGAGCACTGGGACGGTGGGAATTCCAGCGCCTGGGAGCACGAAACATGGGACTAAAGCCCGAGCAGGAGGCCCTGCCACGAGCAGCACAGCCGGAGCCGGACCCAGCTCGCGTGTCTGTCCTTTACATTAACAAAAAGGAAGATTTCCATAGGAAATTCTGATTAGCATTTTCTCCCCGTCCCCTCCTATTTTGGCACAAATGCACATGACGTTTAACACAGATATAAAGAGCAGATAACTGGATAGCACTGACAAAGGTAGCAGACTTATTTGGCAAATTTGAACCATAAAAACAAGTGCTAGTTGGGGGTGGGGTTTTTTTTCCAGTTGTGGAAGCTGTTTGTCATGACAGTTGCTGCAGGGAAAAACCTATTAAACAGTCTGGAGCATGTATATTTAAAAGGAACATTTTATAATACATGTAAATACACTCTCCCAATTTCTCCAGGCAAAAACACCTCTCAGGGTATTTTAATCAGCTGAAACCAGTTTTCCAACAGAGGTTTCGTCTCCGAGATGTCCTGGTTCACGACGGTCGTGGGTGTCCGCGCGGGACCGTGGAGGCAGCGGCGCTTTGCGAGGGCGCCGCGCGGGCCSGGCCGCTGCCCTGAGCTCTGGGAAGCGGCAAAAACCATCCGATGTGTTGGGAAAAACAGCCTGGGAAGCTGGTGTTGTTACCGCCACGGGGCCGCACGGGAAGGAAGGCGCCGTGTCCGGCGGGAGCTGTCCGGCCGCATCCCCGGCGCGACGGGGATCTCGGCCACRGGTCCCTGTCCCAGGAGGCTCCATCCTCCTGGGAACATCCCTGGGGAAGGGGCTCTGGCAGGTGCTTTGGGYGCTTCCTTTCTGCCCTGGAGCACGGAGAGGACGGTGGCGGATGGCGCTGCTGAACGCACAGGACTCATCTCCATGTATCCGCCCTCTGGGAATGCTGCAGGAGCGGCGCCCGGAGCAGCCTGGGCTCGCGCTGCCCTCCATCCACGGGCTCTACTCCTTGTTTTACCGTTATCCACCTTGGCATCCAAGTCTAACGGCATCGCAACCAAAGTGCTAAGAGTTCCTGTGAAGTGGCTTCAATGGGCGTGGAGTCCAAAAACAAACGAAAAACCAAAACAAAACAGAGAAACCCCAGTTTTTTTTCAGCAGAATCTTTTTTTTTTTCCCCTCCTCATCACTCCAGTAACGGGGAATTTATTACGTGTCTGGCCAAGGGCGAAGCCGATTCCCTTCTCCCGGAGTCCTTGTGCCCTGGCAGCTGCCCCGGGAGCCGCTGCCTTAGGAGACGCTGGAGCAGCGGATGCTGGGGGAGCCCATCTGCGTGAGGACCTTGTCCAGCCACTGCAAGGGCCCGTTGAGGTGCAGCTCGATCCAGCAGGGAGTGCTGGTCACTGTCTGCCTCCTGCCGGGGGGAAAACACGGAATTCAGGTGTCGCTGACAGCATTTCCCAAGTGGRAAGAGGTTTTACAGCCACCCGAGCGTCCTCCTGCCTTAGACAAGAGTGGTGYTCGCTGCACCAGGGGATGTGGTCTCGCCCCTCTGGGCTTTTGGCCAATGCTGCGACTTTGTTAAAAACACACAAACCCCACCAAAACGACGGCCTTTCCCCTTTGTGCTCCCCCTGGTACAACTCCCCCCGGAGCCGGGAGGAAGAGGAGGGAGGCGGCGCTGGGGAAGAGGCCGGGGAGCCTCCTACTCCTGCTCCTTGGAGCCCGGTGCAGGCAGGAGGCAGCTCTGCTCTTGTGGAGCAGCAGGAGGGTTGGGGAGGCAGAGAGGGAGCCTGGAAACAGCCTCCTTTGGAGGCCGCCTTTCCCACGGGAGCAGCTCGGAGCGGGAGGCTCCGGCCTCCTGGGAGCCACAAGGGAGCATCCAAAGGTATCCCACGGGGGCTGCCACCTCCCCCAGCTCCATCCAGACCATCCCACCCTCCCGCCGCGGCCCTTCGGAAAAGCCGCCCCCAGAGCTTCCCGGGGCTCCGGGCGCCGGCTCCGTGCGGAGCAGTATCCCTGCAGTATTAAAAAGCGCTCTGCTAATTGCCCCTCTGCTGAAAGGGGAGCAAAGCAGCCGTGCAGAGCCCGGACGGGGCYGCGAGACGCGCGGCCGGCGCCAGGCCTGACCTGTACTCCGCTCCCCAGCCCTTGACGAAGCTCATGCGGATCGTGCACATCCTGGTGAGCTGGTACACGGCCTCGAAGCCCTGGTTCACTGACTGCGCCAAGAGGGCGGCGAACTCCTGGTTGTTAAAAATCTTCAGGTTGCAGCCTGCGAGAAAAGGAGACGAGAAAAGGCGAGGCTGCAGCTTCACCAGATGAGGAAATCAGGCTGCTTTCTGCGAATGGAAAGAACCTCAGCGCTGCTTTCCCATGTCCCTAAACCATGTGATAATATAGACAGATTGCTTAAACGCAGCGTTGCAGAAAAGGAATTAAAATTGCCACATTTCCATATGCTGAAAGGGACAAAAACACATTACAGGACACAGAGTGATGAATGCCAGGGCTCCTGCACTCCTGCTGTTTACAAGACCAGACTCAGGATCCGCTCGTGGAACCTCCTTCTACCTCCATCACAAACATTTCCTTCACATTGTCTTGCTACAGTCTTGCTGTAACCACAGCGCTCGGCAACGGCAGCTGCAGCAGAGCCTCGAATAAAGGAGGGCACAAACCTAGAAGMGGAACTGGCCGGTGCCAGGGCTACRTGGTCCCCACCAGMAGAAATGGAGAAGTTTTGAGGTGACGCTGCCCCTGGCCAGGCAGCAGCCAGGTAGGAATGAGGGCTCCAAGGCTGCCGGCAGAGCTGCTGCTGCTGCTGCATTCCTCATTCCACCACCATGGGACAAAGAGTTTTCCATTAAAAATGAGATTTTCCCCCAGTGTTTAGTCCAAGCTCAAAGACCGAGAAAAACCCTCTGCTGTTTTTAGGCTGTAAAGGTGAAATCTAATCACTTTCCTAAGGGGTAAAATAAATAAAATCATATAGAAATCCCTCTCTCAAAAGAAGTTGYTGCTACGCTTGCCTTCTCCCAGATAACCAGAAACCAGTTAAATCCCAAGACTTGGCACAGAACTCGCGCTCATTTGGGATTACATATGGGCCGAGTCTGAAAAACAACCGCTTGGACTGCGACGAGCTGTACTTTTTTATTTAGAAATGATTTCTGGGCACATTCTGCTGGGCTGGCCCCCTGTTCCGGCTCGGACCGCGTGCAGCAAAGCTGCATCCGAGAGCTCTGCAGCTGCAGGATCGGCTGCCCGTCCCTGTGACCTGCAGGAGCTCAGCCCAGGAGCCCTGTATCCTGCAGAGGGWTCCAAGACGTGTCACCCACGCTGCAGTGTCGGGGGGCAAACGGGAAGGACAAGAGCAAGGAAGGCAGCTCAGATTTGCAGGACTGCGCAGGGAGAGGTCTCTTGTGCATGAGAGGAGAGGGAAAACTAGCTCCTGTCAACATGGGCATGAAGAGACTACTTCAAACCCAGCAAAGATCATCTGAAGAAGAATCTGAGCAGACTGTGGCGAAGAGGGGAGAGCTGCAGTCCAAGAAAAGTGCCTCCCTCCCATGAATCTGCAGCGGGACTGTGGGTTGTTTATGTCTTCAGATGTTGACTCTAGCCAGGGTGGACTCCTGTGATGTGGCTGCAGAATTAAGTCATGTTTGCAGCACTGGCAACTGCCTCTGAGGAAGGAAACCCATTCAGATGGGCCGGAGCTGGAAGTGCACAGATCTCTCCTCTCAAGAGGGACAATCGTTATTCCAATATTTCTACATAAAAATGCTTGTTTTTTAAATATATACCTACTTTTAGCTGTAAGGCATTAGCTTTCGTAAGCCCAGCTAAATTCCCTAGTGAAAGGCCTCCTCTCATACTAATTCCTGCATGTATCCAACATAGAAGTATTTTTTTCCTAGACAGATGCAATAAATTTCCTTGTAAACTTTGAGCATACTTCAGACATGTGTGTGCTGTAACCAGGACAACACCGAAAATGTGCTGAAGATGTGATTTCTCTAGAAAAAAACTCATTCATAAAAGGGGAAAAAGCATTACCATGGGGCAGAAAAAAAAATATTTAAAACGATTATTGGTGAATTTAAATTAACAAAGGTTTCTTACATATCTTCTTTCACTTAAAGGTACAAACATAATTATGAAGATATTTACCAAGTAATTAATACTCGGTCTGCAATAACGGGRCTGATAAAACGCTGCACCTAGGGGGCAAACGCTTGCTGGAGAGCACGTAACATCCTCCTTTTCCATTCTGTTATCCTTCATGCCAAAGCCAGGTCCTGCTCAAGCTGACAAATCCTTTTATTTGCATTAAACAGAGTTTCTGGCAGCTGCCCGGAACAGAGGAGAGCAAATCCAAGCCTGCCTTGAGGAGCAGCTCCCGGTCCATAGCAGGGCTGTGTTTTCCACGGGCAGGGGCCGTGCGGGCCCGGGGGTGCCCCTTACCTGGCGGGATCTTGCAGACGGTTGCGGGGTGCCAGCCGTAGCGCTGGTTGCAGTTGGGGGACTGCACGAAGATGGCACTGTCACTAAGGCACTCGGCAAACACCTCCCCGCCGATGTAGTAGAGTCTCACTCCTCTTCCTAAGGAAACACACGGCACCGTTTGGGGTTAGTTTAAAACTTGTGCCTGCCAAATTTATAAAGAGGTTAAGATATAAAGGACCTTTGCTCCGGCGAGATCTCCCAAAGCAGAGACTGCAACTGCTTCTTCCAAGCAGAGGCGCCCCTGCTATTTTCCATATGAACCTTCTATCASTTAACGCACCATTTCCAGCCTGCTCCGAAAGTCATCCCAGCTGGATGCAACTGTTTATTTATTTACTTACTGAATGGGAATGAAGTTATGCAACATTTTCAAACAGTTGTCTCTTGCTTGAGATTACACGTGTACACAAGGACAAACATACATTTCCCATATAAGTTCCTACAAATCGTTAAAATCTCTGTTAATAAAGAAACAAATTTCAGGAATTTGTCTTTGTTACTCAAATAAACCTCTGTTGTGGTCKTACTTTGCTATTTACAAATCCTGCATTCTTTCTTCCATGCAGCATAAGAAATCTGCTGAATTTAAGGTCTGATTTCAGATTCTCTCTCTCTCTTTTTTTTTTTTCCCCATTATAAATCATTTTAGTAACAAACAAGAAAAGATCCTCCTGTAAAAAAGTTCAGCTGTCTAAGAAGAGCACAAGGGAGAACAAAATCAAGACAAAAGACAGGATGGTTTTTGGATGGGAGTTAGCAGAAAATAAAGCAAAGCTTATGCACTTTTGCCTCTCATTAAAATTACATATGTCTGGGAGTTCAATCGAGAACAAAATTGAGTCCTAGCTTGCAGAATAAGGAGGAGGAGGAACTGAGGTGAAAAATCAATCAGCTAAGTTTCTGTGATGARTCAGTTAAAAAATAAAATAGTGCAGAAGGGAAAACAGAAAAACCACACTTCCATTCGCAGCCACCCAAATAAAGCTCCGAAAAGTGCATGTAAAAGCTTAAATTCCGTCCATCTCCATTATATGCAACAATTTCAGTATTCCTTAAGCGTCTTCCTTACTCCACTTTTATGAAAATGAATTCTCTATGGAAGATGAGCCTGCAACGACAGCAGACACTCAAGTGTCGCAGCTGTAAAACGAACCAAGCTCGATGGCTGTTGGTAACTAAGAGGCTCCACGTGCAGAACTTCCCTTGCCCCTCGRCAGCCCCAACCAACAGCGGGAGGCAGGAATTACCGATGTGCCGCCGGGTGAGCTCCACCGCCGCGTTCCTGTTCACGTTGGAGAGCAGCCCGAGGCAGAAGCGCTCGGAATTCGAGGGGTCGGTGAAGCCATCCACGGTCATGGAGGGCTGGGAGGCGTGGAACGTCTCTCCCACGCGCTGGTTGAGCTCGTAGTACGATATGGAGCACCAGAAGGCCGGCTCGCAGTAGGTGACGGGCTGCAGATCTGCACAGAGAGAGGAGCAAAATGAACCACGTGGAAAGGGAWGGAGGAGAGATGGGCACGGGAAAGGAGCCTGCTTTGGAATAGGGCTTTGCTCCATTTCTTGGGCTTTCTTTAAGCACCAGGCTTTAATTACTCGACAGATTTTAATGGACTGCAGATAGAAAGTCTGATCACTCCCAGAGCTCCCAGATCACAGAGTCAGGTATCAGTCACCTAGTAAGAGGGGTGTCCACTCTAGTAAGAGGGGTGTCCACTCAACCATACTCGGAGAAAACCCCAAAAATAAACTCTGCTTTTCAATGACATTTTTAGGCAGCCAGTACCTTAAAAAGAGCAAAGAAGAGAGGAGGAGGGAAAGAGCAGGCCACAACACCGGTCTGGGGAACGCTGATTTGGGGCACTTATAGCAAAGCAGCCAGCAATTCAACTTTGGCTCTCCCTGGCTCTGTCACGTCCCTCTAGCATTGCAGAAACCAGTAGTTATTTGCAATACGCACCATGTTGCACAACAGTGGCATCAAACTCATTTAAATGGAGGCAGTCTCASGAAGAGGACACTTTGCATGCATGAAAATGGGACAGTCAAGAGGCTTTAAGTGATTTAACTGAAACCAATGAGGGTTTTACTGCTGATTTCAGAGCAGGGAGGCTCACGTGTCAGATATTCTTGGAAAGGCTGCGTTAGATGGTGCCCTGTGACCTGCTGAGCAGAGGAAGGGACAGGCAGACCAAGCTAAGTGCTAAGTGCTCCATGAGCCAGGCTCAGCACCCGCAAGAGAAGCAAAGGAGCAGCCTCCCCTCCAAAACCATCACCACCCGGAGCTCGGTGGGACAGGAATCAACACCGTGTCAAGGTGTAGCTGTCATTTCTTCATATTTTAAGCAATTTTTAGAGCCAAAAACCAGTCCCTCTCCAATACACAGAGATGTTGGTGAACATGTCCAGGAGTCACACGTTTGCTTTGTGTTTTTCCCTTTTCGTCTTTGCATTYCTCTCCCATAGAGCAGGACCGATGCTGGGCGCAGAGCAGCCCCGCGTGCTCCGCACAGGGGCTCAGCAAGAGCTGCACGGATCAGATGTCGCTGCTCGTGAGAGGCTGTTCAGCTCCCGCAAACACAAAGCAACCCTGATCCTTTTCAGTAACGGCCTCACGTCGGTGCTGTCCAAGTTATAAAAGCCCCGAGGCCTCTGTTGATCTCTACACTCTCAAAGTCCTTCCCTTGCGCAACCCCCTCYGCTGGGTTGGGCTCAAGGAAGCTGGGGATACCTCACTGAAAGGTCCACGGAAATTTCCCTTCCAGCTTAATTTGCARCTTGAGGAAAGACACAAGCCAACAAATCTCACTGTTCGCCTCTAAAAAACGCAGCTAAGCTTTTCATGCAGCTGCTTCTCCTGTGAATTGTAGTCTCAGGCTCAGGCTGGAACGGGTGAGTTAGCTCTCATGTTGTATTAGTTGCCTCCTGAACATTCATTTGGAATTTTATGAATTTACTGCTTGGGAAAAAGTAGGCCAACGTAGCTGTGTACCCAGCGGGCCGACATAATCGACTCAAACGTAATACATCAAGCTCAAGTAAACCCTGCCCGAGTCTTCCCCGCAGTTCTGCCAGGGCGTTCCAGCCCTGACTCACTGCAGCTCTGCTTCCACAAGCCCCGATTTTCCTCGTGCCAACGGGTCCTTATCACGCCACACGCATGGGAGTTGTGCAACGTGAGTAAGTGCCCCTTGAATACCAGCACGCTGGCCAGGCTGCCGCTTCCCCACGAGACACCAGCACGATCTGCTCGGATCTGCACAAAYGCCGCGCGTTTTGCACGTGCTACAGCGCGCGCCGAGGGATAAGAGCAGTTGCTACCCCAGTTTTAACTCAAATTTTTGATACACAATGTGTATTAGCAGTTTACTACTTGTTCTACAGCTGTGTCAGAGCCTCCTGCATTATTTTTTTGGTTTGTGAGGCAGGAGTTGGAGCTGAGAGGCGTCCACGCTCCCTGCTTTGAGAAGGGCCCTCTCCTCCGGCTTCGCAAAYAGCCTTTCCCCACGGGAGCTGACCAAGGGCTGCACCACGGGGTCCCCACGCGCTTTTCCCGTTCTCCTCAAGAGCTTCTGCGTCAAGCAAAGGGGGCCAGCGGGTTTCCAAGGGCCGCCCCGCTCCGCAAGGAGCATCCCGGAGCGCTGCGCCTGGCCCCCGGCCACGGCGGCTCCCGCCAAGGCCGCCCTCATTCTCGCTTGTTTGCTGTGTTTTTTCCAGCCCGAATGGAAGTAATGCAAAGAGCTCACTGGGTATTTATAGCTTCCATTTCAAGCCTGCGCCTGACAACTGAAAGTTTGGACCCAAACTAGAYTGCTTCCAAATCAAACACAGCCGCTGAAAGGAGGAAAGAGAAAAGGCCGTTTCCAATACGTTACCTTGCAGCACGCTTTGTGTCTGTGAATAAGACGAATTGAAATTCCCTGCGTTTCTTCCCTCCCCTTTCACAGTCTTACACTGAAATCCAGCAGCTCGAGCAAACCTTGTGCCTGTTGTCCTAAACAGTCTTATCACCTYTGCAATTTGGGGGAACATGGGACATTTTGGCCATGGGACATAAGGCCAAAGTTCAGCCTACACTAAGTAAACTGTCTTAAAAGCATTAGGTAGTTATATTTAAATAATCTGAGGGATGCAGCCCTGCAACATGATTTTCTTAATGCAGACTGCAAAACAGAAAAAAAAAAACAAAACAAACGAAGAAAAACACCACATTCCACTACTGAGAGCTTGCGAAAGCTTTCCAGTGTTGTACAGTGCTGTGCTCCTCACATTTCTGCTCAAGTTTCTTAACAAACACACAAAGAAAGCCTGATAAGCCCTCTGCAAACGCAAGCACAGCCCTGGCCGCTGAAGTGCTCTGTGTATCTGCAGCGTTGAGTGCACAGCAAAGGCAGGAGCCCTGCAGGGCAGCGGCCACTAGCAGGTTCTCCTCCAAACCTGCAGAGAACAAGTTCTCCTCTCACAGCCTGGTCTTCAGACACTGTCGCACTGSAAGGCTCCTGGGCTGCTTGTGTTTTCACCTGTGTTCCTCTAAGCAATACGCAGCTCCTTGCTTTAGTTGTGCAGCGCAAGCAGCACGGATGATGACAAGGTTTTCATGAGCCACTTGTTACAGCTGTCCGTATCTGTGCCACTTAACTGAGTTTACAGCATCCTTAGGTGCAAAGATTTACAGTAATGCTTTTATGGAGAGGCTCTTACTTTGCAGAAGTTCTTACCTAAAGGCAATAAATACGTGGTTTGTAAAACTTAAGAGTTACACTTTAACGTTGAGGAGTAAATATATTTTTCCGATGTCTGCTCCCTAGATTACAAAGGGACTCCTTGTGGTTACCAAGTTTTGCCTGATCCCACTGAGTTTTGTCACCACACAGCACATCAGGCACCACTGGACCCATCAGCTGAGCAGCATGTGTTAATAACCAGAGTCCTGGCTGCAGTGATTTGCAATGGGGCCTCTTTCCTAGAAACTCCTTTTCTCCTTGCATAAGGCAGATGCCACAGGCGACTCGCCAGGTTGGTTTTGTTGCCTGTAATTGGCTTTTTATTTTCAAGCTGACATGAACTGCTAGAAATTCCCAAGTCCCAAGCTGCACACTTGAGTGTAATGGATTAAAAAGGAGAAAAGAAATCTCCTTCAACAGCTCCAAGATATCTACAAGGCAGCCAGTGACTGACAAATTTTGGAGCAATGTCAAAGTACCCTCTGACAGGGCTAAAAGCATATGCAGCCTTTATGGCTCTTCAAGAGTAATCTCAAGTGGCCCATGTCTGCTGGCTTAATGAGCATTTAGAGAACTGATCCTGCAGTTAGACGGGTATGAGGGTTTTTTTGTTTTATTTTTTTTTTTTTAGGATTGGCTGTTGAGAGCAAATTCATATCGGGTGAAAGCAAAGAACCGGTGAAGTTCAGGTCTTCCTTGTCTACAGGCACAAAAATAAAGGGCAGAACTATTGAACTACTTGAAAGGGTAACAGAGGTTCAGAGAGAGCCACAAAACCTCTAAYAGTATCTCAAAGGCAAGGGCCTTTTTCAAAAGCTACTATTACTTTGGCTCCTATATGTATTTTACTRTGCGCCCTTCAAAACCAAACAAAAACTCGTCACATCAATTGCAATTCTTCCTCATTCTCTCTGGTATCCCTCTGCCACCATTTCTTGTTTTTTACTTAACTCTGTGATGTAAGCTCAGACTTGGTTCATACAGAACTACTACAAGCCACAAGGATTAGCAGAAAGGAGTATCAATAGGGGTCACAACTTTATCAAAAGTGCACAACCTTCAGAAATAGCCTCATCAATAAAATATTACTATCTTAATTATAGTCAGTTTTCAGGATCACATGCTTACCAAGATTATTGTGTGCTGGAGACATAGGATTTGGTGATAAGTTTGGAGAACCTGAAAACCAAGACATAATTGTTAATATAGTAACTGCACAACGGAAAATATACAGCAAATTCAGCCTGTTGCAAGGGTATCCCATTTGCTCAGCTAAACTTCATTTAGTGACACCAGCAGCTTCTCTGATGTTGATTACATTGATGTGGACTCCACGAACTTACAACCCATGTCATTTACTGCATCGGCTTCCTAGGTCTGCAATACATCTGAACATCTTCCTGCTGCAACCACGTAGTCTTAACCCACCAAATTTCAAAACCAGGCATGCAGATGTCCATTTTATTTTCACATGCAGCTACAAAACTACAAGTACCATGACGACAGTTAGCTGGACATGTAAGGGCTCATCCAGGTATTAAATATATTCACACAAACAGTGTACAGTAAGTTTAACGTGCTACTACTTGGCATCAGGACAAATGAATACGGGCTCAAGCTATGTAGGTCTGAGTAAACAAGTGTCAGAATTTTATCCCCAGTCATTTCAATTTGGGCCACATGTTTCGGGCATATTTTACAGCAACTGCATCCAGAAGTCCAGAGCAGCTTCCACAGTCTCTGGGTAACACATGTGAGCAGAAAAGTGCTACAGATCCTCTTTCTTTCTTTCTTTCTTTCTTTCTTTCTTTCTTCCTGCACCGAGCCCAGCTGGGCTTCTTTAAAATTTGTTTTTCTATAAAGTGAGAAGCCCATGACATCTGAAGGAATGTAAGAAAGGCAGACGGAATACATGCAGCATTTGAGAACACAAATTGGGTATTTATAGCATCGTCCAGGCCAATCCCATTCCAGCACTCTTTCCCCAAAGGTCCTCTATACATTCCAGATGCTAACCACATCACCAATAATTGCCTGTGCCAAAATGGATTGTGTCAATAGGCTYATGTTTGATGTAGACAAACCAACCCACACTGCCTTCCTCCATCTGTACCGCTGCGGTGAAAGACTGTAAATCAGTCACCCCTCTTTTAGAATCCCACATATACTCGACAGCTAAAGACGTGCACAGAAACCAAGACATTCGTGTGCAGCATTTGCCTTAACTAGGTTCTGCCTGCCTCTCTTTCTTTAAGTGCAACGTATTTGCATATCCCTCTTGCATCAACCCTTCTAACAAGAAACGTGTTTTTGCTTTTCAAGCAGAAGTTTTAGAAATTAAGAGCTGGATTCAGCAATTCCTACTCACAAGCAGTGACACCATTCAGAGCAACAGGATGGCTTAATAAACAGCTGCTCCCAGGAAGATCAGACTCGCACGTTTAATTTTGAAGTGTCAATACAGCTTAGCTTGAACGCCGAGACAGGTGCCTCTAAATCTAATATAAAGCAACTTCTTTCCTTGGCAATGAGAAAGCACCTCTGCTTTTAATGTTCACTGGGATATAGGCCCAGTGATGGGATAAAACCCCTTAAAACCAATCTGCTAGCAGTCATTTCCAAAGTAAACAACTAAATGATCAGAAAAATGCCTCTGTACAACGTGCCAACCACATGCACGGTCACTCTGCAGGGCAAACCCGCATCCTCAGATGAATCTCTGCTCTTCCAGGCTGCTTAGTAACATCTAAGGATGGATGTTGGAGAGAACAGGAACAGGAACATGCACCAAAAAAGCACAGAGTATATAGGGTTATATTTTACATGAGATGGTTGACTGCACCTGTATTCCTACGGGGATAAAATACCTCGAAACACCTTCTGAACTTTAGTGCTGCAACGAAAAAAAGTTAAAGGTCTCTCTGATATGACCTAGAAAACTGCCCTTTATGGCAGAAGATGACTTACCTGCATCCATGCTGGGGTTCATCTGGTGGTCACTGGTTTCTCCATCCTCACTCAAATAGCCTGGAGGGGGTGTCTCTGGAATCACAGAGAGTCAAACTRTCACTGCAACTATGTGCAAAGTCCGGAACATAATTCTCAGAGACCTTCAGTTTGCTATTCACAATTACCCCCTCCCCAAAAAAGAAAAGCATTATTTTTCTTCCTCTAGCTGCTGCCAGTAGGAACAAGGGGCACAGCATATCTCTGAATAACAGGAGGGGAAAAAAGATCTTGGGATTTGCAGTCTGATATATTTTTTTGCCAAGTAGGCAGTTTTCTATCCAGATTTTCTCCTTCTCCTGTGTGCAGCTGCACAGCTCGTCCATGCAAATAAGGTGTAAACTGCTTGTAAAAGAGAAATGTAACTGCAAGAGCTCAATTTCAATGGAAATTTACACGATTTTACCCAAATTCCAATGACTGAATTTCGTTCAACGCTAAACTTGTTACAGGAACATTCTGCTTTAGAATCCCCAGTAAATCCTGGGTATGCAGTACTGAGGGGAAGAGGCAAATCTAAAGCAAGAAAACAAACCTATGAACAGCACTGCTGTGTGGCTACGTTCACAGCTTTTATCTGTTTTGGTTCTGGTTCCCACTCCTTAGCTTCACAGCAGCAATGGAGCCACAGACTTTGCAGCTCTACAAATTCACCCAATTCAGGGGGCAGACCGTCCCTTTTCCCTCCGCTTGCTGGATGGAAGGTACCCGGTACCTGGAATGTAGTTGCTCTGTGGCTCGATCCCTGCTGGGAAGTTAGTGTTCTCGGGAATAGAATGACTGTAATCGTCCAAGGGCGGGAACTCGGCGGGAATCTCCGTGTGCCGAGGCACCAGCACCGGGGGTAGCACTGCACAAAGGGAAAAAAATACATTAACATCTTCAAAATAAAACGACTGAAACGCTAGGAAATGAAGAGAAACCAGTTTAGAGCAACACCCTTACTACGTGCAACTGCAAAGTCCTTAATCAAGAGACATAATTTGATATTTTCTCCTGAGATAAGAGCAGTAGTTGGAGATGCTATTCTTAACATATCTCAGCTGGGAATGAGAGTATTTGCTTATCTGAACACACCTAGTCTGGGTGTTTGCATCTTCATGGCCAAATTAACAACTCTGCTTTGAAAAGCAGGAGATTCAAAAGAAACTTCGCATTAAATGTAACTGCAAGTTAGGTCTAGCAAGCATTTCCCAGACTGGTTCTGCAGATCTGGGCTGGCATACACAGATTTCCTGTGTAACCTACAGCTACACATGAAAGTCTCTTCCAGAGGCAGCGGGACAACTTCAGAACAGGAAGCCCAAGTGTGCTGGGAGCTCCTCACAGAAACGCTGCAACTTAACAGTACGTTCAGCACTAATTGAGTATCAGTAGTTGGAAGACTCAGAGCACTGCCAGGGCTGGCGCTTTTATCTGCTACTCATGTGGGTCTGCGTGCACACGGTGCCACGTTGGGAACGTGCCAACACCACAGCCTTGGATCTCATTGATTTTTCAGTGATATTTAACCCCCACCCCAGTGCAGACCTACACATTATCCTAGCACCTATAGCAGGAGACTGTCATCAGTAACACTTTGGTTCTAACCCTGCAGCCCTGCTGCCTTTTTCCACTCGGAATCCCGATTTTGGCTGCGGTACCTGGCGTCTCCACTCTTTGGTAGTGGTAGGGGTTCACGCAGACTTCGTCCTTCTTCATGTTGAAGGCGAACTCGCACATCTCCATGGCGCGCAGCTCATGGTGGCTGTGGAGGTCCGGCCAGCGCCACAGGCGGCAGTAGATGACGTGCGGGAGGCCCTTGCGGTGGGACACCTGCAGCCGACCATCCAGGGACCTGCAGCGGGGATATAAGAATAACACAGACTGGCCTTAATGCATGTGCTTAGATATAAGGAGGAGAACAACGTGGGTTGGCCTTAACGCACGTGCTCTGCTGGCCACGTTCATCCGTGTATATAACATGAACAACATGGTGTGTAGACGGCACGTTCTAGTGGTGCCCGAAGCAGCAGCAACGAGGTTCAGGTCTCTGAAAACAGAGAAGTGTCTATTTCATAGGCAGCTTTAGTGTGGGTACGTTCGTTTTCTGAGAAGAAGCTAATGTGGAGGTGGTAGGAGCTACAGCAAGCCACAAGGCATCGATCCAGCTGCCCGCTGGAGGCTGGTGAGCACCAAGGAGCACCCTGCAGCCGCAGCGCTTGCTGCAGCGCGTGGTTTCATTCTGAAACAGAACCTAGAAAATACAAAAAGACTCATTTGTGTTCTGGTATTCGAAGCCCCATTTCCCACCTATTCCCATCTTTGCCTCAGAATGGTCTGTTCCCAGCAGACCTTCCAGGGAAGCCAGCCGGGCGGGTTCAGCTCCCAGCTCCTGCAGGGAAAGGGCCCTCAAGCAATTTCTTCCAACATTTTCACTTCACTTCCCTTGTTTTTCTTAACGAGTGAAACAAAACATTTCAGGAGGTTGCTGAAATGAAATATATATTTTAATTTGTCCAGGAAAAGGAAAAAAAAAGGAAAATTGAAATTTTGCTCAGAATTATTTTCCTTGGTTCTTCGTGCTGTTAGCCRATCGAGAAGAACGAAACCACCCCACACGGGTGATTATTCCTAGTCCGCTCTTCCCAAAGCGAGGCACACACCTCCTGCCGACACCGTTACAAGCGGCGGGGCGGCACCAACAACCCACACACGCTGCTCCCGAGCAACACTAGATTTAGGGGAGCAGGGGAACAGCCGCACGTCAAACAACTGCCCRAAGGAATCCCTGCCATCGCCGCGGGACTTGTCGGTACAGGAAGCACCAGAAGCTGCAAGTGTTCCGCAGTCCTGAAATACGCACAACACCCGCAGCCATTATTTATAGCACGCAGGTATTTGCTTCTATTCGGTTATTTCTGGGTCACGCATTCTCCCCATGCCAGAGCGCTGTATCCCACACTGCAGCCTCTCTGCAAAGGGGCAAACAGACAGTTCGGCATCCGGCGGGATTCCCAGGCAGCTCCTGGCCAAGCTCCTCGTTGGGATGGTGAAGGATGAGCGCGTGGAGCAGGGGAAGGACCCGCAAGGAGACCCCAGCACCTTGCAAACAGGAGAACATTACRTTGCATAACAGGAATTTGACTTCTAGGCTTCATTATGTTTTCTTCTTTTAAAACTCCTTATTTAATTTGTAGGATTCTGAATCAGGAAAGGGAAAACAACAAAAACAACAGCTTAAAAATGGGCCCTTGTTCTTTCTTGTTTTCCTCACTGAGCATCTTTACAGCTGTCTTTGAGATGGTTATTCAGCATCCTCCCTCCCCTTGCTCTCTTCAAGAGAAAAGCTGAAGTTGGTTGAATGCAATAATGATGCAAAGGGATAAGCAATAAGGTATTTCCAGCCATGAAAACAATCCTGCTAATATTAACATTTATCCAGGCACACATTCATTTCCCTGTGTTCCCTCTTCTCACACCTTCACATTGCTCTTTGCAAGGCCCATCACTTTGATCACCTGCCATTAAGTGACCTCCCTGAGAGCAAATGCCTCAATGCTCTTTAAAAACCAAACATTCCCACCAAAAAAACCCTAAATCTAAGGACTGACCTGCACCATAAGCAATAGCACGTGCAAAAAAAGGGCTAAGGAAAAGAGAAATGATCAGGAGAACTAAATTACACATTTCTGAGAGTTCTTTATTAAAAACCACGAGCAGAAGCTATTTTTTAAATCCATGACAAACAACTTGCCAGTGTGCTCTGAAGTGCTGTTACTAAGAACTGTGGCCACGGGCTGTGACTTTCTGTTGAGCACAAAGCACGGCAAGCAGTTTAAGCAGTTCCTTACTGGCCGTGCATCTGGGCCGCACCAGGAAAGGCAGCATTTATTCACGGAGCAAAATCTGGCTTTTGTGTCCGGAGACCAGAAATATCCACAGGGCTGACGGAGAAGTTGGATAAAATCTCAACTTTCCCCGAGTACTAGCCAAATGAATAACACTGAATAAGAAAAAGCAAAGAAAAAAGGCGCATACAGCACATTAGTAACTCAAAAGCTGATCCATTGCCATCCCTTTCCCCTCGGTTTGCTCGGCATCACTCACTTTTCCCATCTCTGGGCAGCTTTAACTGCTGTTATTCTGGAAGCAGGAGTGGCCGTGTCCAGCTGGGGTTTGCAAGGCACGTTACTGCACGGCCATCAAGGAGCCTGGTAATTAATATCTCTACCTCAGCACTTAAATATATAGATGATCAAAAGAACAAACAAACAGCTCCTTAATCTGCAGCACAGCTCTGTGGAGAAGCTTACACCCAAAGCAAGGAAGTTAAGTGACTCTTCCCAAATTAAAAAAAAAATGCATCAGAGCAGTTAATTCCTCCCTTAATTCTATAAAAGGGCACAACTTTGTGCTGGGCTCCCTCTTTCACCTGTCCCGCTTGCTCTTCCTGCTCCGGCTCTCCTGTGGCTGCAGGGACCGTCTCTCGGCGAGCTGCTGGTGGCAGCAGGAGCAGCGAGGGCAGGACGGGGACACCAGGATGTCACGGGCTCATCCAGGACCCCGTGCCCGGGCAGTCGTGCCCTATGGGTGCACATTTCCTTACAGCTAGGTATAAACCCATGGCCCAGCTCCACCAGGCCCGGAGCAGAGAGGACTGCAGGGCCAATCCCGATCCCTCCGATGCCGTCCTGGTCTCCAGGCTTTGCCAAGGAGCCGGCATGGCGGGATCCAGCAGCGTGTCCCGTGGCCTCTTGCCTCCTGTTTGCATCTCAGCCCTTCCTACAGCTCTGCAGCCACCCCCTTCCCCCAGCAAAGGGCTGCAGAAACAGCCCACGAGCTGATGGCAGCATCAGATTATGAAAGCATGAGTCATTTATTCAGATTCCAGGAACGCTGAGCTCTTTAGCAGGTGCCTTGGGAGCCTATTTTTCAGTCTAATTTCAGGTTCAGACATAAGTACATTTTATTGGTTTACCATAAACTGTCCGTCCACCGCGGCTCCTGCGAAGCCTCCTCGCCGGCGCCGTGCGCGCTTCCCGCTATCCCAAACGCTCCGCGTGGATCTGGTTTGGCCACGTGAGGACACGCTCCGACGGCTTTTCCCTCTCTGCTTTTTGCTAATCTCTCCGCCTGCTTTCACTGCAGCTACAGGGTGTTACGGAGCAAACGCTGCTCCCTTTCGCTCTGTTTTTAGCTCATTTTCTCTCTCACTTCCTCATTTTTGCTAGCCCACAGCAGTGGTAATAGGGACTTTGGAGGCCCTGSCGCGCATTTCCTTCCCCCTCCTTATCCCCAGGAAGGCCTAATATATCCTAGGGGTTGATTAAGGCTTATATCATCAAGAACTCACTTCCGGCCTCCCCAATACTGTTATTTCTGCCATCTCGTCCAGATGCACCTGGACCTGCACAGTGCTGGGCAGTTCTCAAACAGAGATGCACATTTCCAGCGCTGCATTTCAAAAGGAATGGAGGGAATTACTCCCAAGCATCASACACTACTGCACAGACACCTTTTCCAATAAGTGCAGCAGAAACTAGAGCTAAAACACAACCTCCACCTCCCCACGTGGGGAAACCCTCCTCCACCTGCAGAACCAGCCAGCAGCAGGACGGGCCCGGTTATTGTCACTGCAAGAAGTAAATCGGCTACATTTTGCTAAGAACGTGGCGATTTATTAGTATTAATTTACTAATAAATTGCCATGAGTAGAAATTGAAGAAAAAAGGAAGTGGAACGTGAGGTCAGAAGTGACGGTATCACTTCCGAGCCTTTTTTCATTCTTTTTTGAAACAAACGCAACTCCCAGCGCGACGTTTACAAACCCTCCAAACGTTACACCCTTTTTTCCTAAGCAGATAGCCCTTTTATTTACTTCATCTCCGTTTATTCGCCCAAATCCTTGTCAGTCTGATGGAAATTGGTTTGCGCGTGAGCCCTGAGGGAGCTGGGGGAGGAAGAGGCAGCCGCAGCCTCGGCCTCCTTGGAAAACCATTTATCGCACGGGCTCGGCCCCGCTTCCCAGAATCCTGCCACTAACTGCAATCCCCAAATCCAAGCAGCACGGCGCTCGGCCAAGGCGGCCTCGCAGCCTCCTCTCTTGGAGGAGATTCCAGGCACACTGACGGCTCTCGGTGTTTGTGCGGGAAGGGGAGTTGCATAAGCAGAAAACGGAGGGATGGAAACGCCAAAGAGATTCAGAGGGTCCTCCACGAGACACAGGGCACTCGGAACACGAGGATTTCAACAAGGGCTGAATAACTGGGGCAYGTGATTCTCCTATCAGTCCATCAAAGAAAACCATGCAGGGGATGTCAGCTACTCCATTAGCTGTCACGATGCTTATACTGATTTATATTAAATACCTAGTCCCAAAACACATCTTCTTGATACTAGGAGAAAAAAAAATACTCCTAGTTTTACTAAAAGCTGCAGAGAGCCTTGAAAACTACCAACATGTGTGGATACAACCCAAGCAAAACTGCAGCAAGAGAACGAAGACACTTCCTAGCCACCAAGGGAGAGCAGAAACGAAGGCACCGTGTGGTGGGATGTCTCACAGTAAGAATTTTTACCCCAAATATATTGGCTGCTAACACTAGCAATAATGCTCATTATCATCAGCGCTGAAACAAATGACAGTTTGACAGAAAAATGACAGAAAAAAAGACTTTAGATTCTGCTTCACAACATACCCGATCGCCAGTGCCTTCAACACAAACTTCATGTAAATACCCAGGGCTGGAACTGACTTCTCACATAAATGTTTGTGCAGTCTATCAAGCTGGGATTCAGCCAACATTTCTTATGGAAACATTCTGGTGGTCCTGAGCAAAGAACATGTTTATTTTA